TTAACTGGACAGGCACCTGCTCAGATCAGTGAGACTTTGGCCAGCCTATACTAGTCAGTAAATGCCACTTAACAAAGATATATACTTGGAAAATAAATGCAGCCTTAAGGTCCTAAAACAGTAAGCACACTTACTACCTTAAGTTACATTTCAACTTGCCCTGTGCTAGAAGAATTACCCAGTATTCATACAATCCCTGTGTATATTTTGGACCCTTCCAGGAATTTTTTTCAAAAGACTGAGCCATCTTCCTGGAATGAGTGAGCCACAAAGCAAGTATTAGTAATATGTGTGTACATGTCTTTAAAACTGACAAGTGATTGGCAATTTTTGCTTACTTAAGAACTCCCTGAGAACTGGAAAGGGCAGAAAAGGAGAACATGCTGGTTTTGTGTGGACATAGTGCAGCAGACCCAGCCCACAGGATGCTGCCCACAAGGCACAGCTGACCCTTCCACACAGGTCCTCCTCACTCAATGCTGGCTCACAGGTGCAGAGGAAGAAAAAAAGGCAGGGGACAGGGGGCGTATGTTGAAAATCCATGTGCTTAGTTTTCTCTGCTTTCAGAAGGCAGCATAAGAACAAAGAAACAGGAGAGGGCAGAGAGCCTAGGAAGGAAAAACATAAACCAACAGAATAGGGCAAGAACCACAGAGTGGTCCATGATGGAGTACAAGGAAGCCACCATAGAGACAATGAATGCCAGCGGGCCACTGGGAGAGCATTCTCAGGAGGTCTGGTAGCCATGGGTGGGATGGAAAAAGGCAAGATGTAGCACATTTCAACAAATATTGAGGGCTCAGCTTCAAGTCCCTGTTATAGGATTATAGGGGGCTCAGCGATAAACTACCACCTAGCAACAAGCAGGACTGCAACATCCCTCAAGATGAGCAACACCACACTGCTGACGACTGACAACCACTGCACTATGACACCAAATCAGTTAAGCAAAGCTGAGGTATGCCCAGGTATGCCCGGCTGAGGGACAATACGCAGGGGCTCAGGGAAAGAATTAAAGGACAATGGCTTTAATTATTTTTCCTTTAAATATTTATTTATTTATTTATTTAAGGGCTCGCATGATGGCCTAGTGGCTAAAGTCCTTGCCTTGAACTTGCCTAGATCCCATATAGGTGCCAGTTCTAACCCCAGAGGCCCACTTCCTACCCAGCTCCCTGCTTGTGGCTTGGAAAGCAGTAGAGGATAGCCCAAGGCCTTGGGACCCTGTACCCGTGTGGGAGACCCAGAAGAACTCCTGGCTGTGAATCAGCACAGCTCTGGCCACTGTTGTGGTCACTTGGAGAATAAGTCATCGAATGGAAGACCTTCCTCTCTGTCTCTCTGTCTCTCTCTCTCTTTATATATATATATATATCTGACTTTACAATATATATATTGTGTATATATATATATATACAATATACAATATATATATATCTGACTTTACAATAATAAATCTTCTTTAAAAAAAAGATTTATTTATTTGAAAGGCAGAGACAGAAAAACAGAGAAACAGAGGGAGAAAGAGGGAGAGAGATTCATGAGGTTACTTCCCAAATAGCTGCAAGGGCTGGGTAAGGTCAAAGTCAGGATCTCACATGGTGGGTGCAGGGGACCTAAGGGCTGGAGCCATCTGCTGCTGCTATCCTGGGCACATTAGTAGGGAGCTGAATCAAAAGTGCAACACTTGACATTTCAACTGGTGCCCATAGAAACTGCCACAATGCCAGCCCCAAACTATATTTAAAAATCAAGATCAACACACAAATCCAGGTCATGTAAGAGGACCCAAGTGCAGGCTGTGAATGCTAACAACCCAGCATCTCTACCTCAGTGGTTCTAAAGTCTGCCTGGATAGCTTAAGGGGAGAACACCGGCTCTGTGGTCAGCCTGTGCGAAATTCTCCACTTGCTGGTTGTTGGATTTTTTGAACAAGTTGCATTCTCTGTGCATCACTTTCTGTCCACAAGTACAGAAAGTTAAGAATTAGATGTAATTCCTAAGGTTACTAGGGGAACCGGGTTCACATGGGTCCAGGCGCATTAGACCAGTGCCCACTACATGCCAGTAGTCTGACATGCTGGCTGATCTCAGAGGGGCAACCAAAGGGAGGGTCCTATTTCAATAAAATACAGCCTTACATGTGTTACAGTGTAAACACTCCCTGGGCTGTGGGCTTAACATTTACTTTGAGGCCACAGCCTGTAAGACCTTGGATGGAAGTCGTCAGCCCCTTGATTCAAGTCTCTGTACTCCTATTTTGGGAGCCCCTGTGGCACAAGCTGCTTGTCAGTTGCTTCCTGCCAGGAAGTTCTTACATTTGATATTGGAACTACTTTGTATTCAGAAAAGTAAAACAGGATTGCCTCATGATTTCAATAAAAAGTGATAAGATTATGAACTGTCCAGAGATTAGCAGATTACATATGTAAAGGAACTTCAAATAAAACTTATTAACATTTAAAAACACTAAGACTAAAAATATAAGAGATATTCAAGAATCCCATATAAGTCTAATTTCTCTTGGTTTACATATAGTTTGAGAAACCTATAAATAAATAGTTGACATTTTAAGAATCTGGCTACAGACTTAAAGTACATACATACAAACCCTAACAACATTCTTGGGCAGTCACCATGACAACATGATGCAGAACCTACCAAGCTCTTTGTTATCCTGCTGAAGACACAACACAAAAACACACTCATTATTGATTTTACATTAATTAAGTGGAAAAGGTTAACATTTCTATATCCTCATGGTTTCCATCCAGAACTCAGAAAAAGGAAATACTAAATATTTCAAGAGAAACAATGTCAAAGTAGGGGTGGGCATTCACCCCCCATTCCATATCACAGTACCTGGCTCTAGCTCCTAACTCCGGTTCCCTTCTAAAGCAGATCCAGGAGGGAGTGATGATGGCTAAAATAATTGGGTTCTTGACACTTGTGTGAGACTTGCCCTGACCCCTTGCCCAACCTCAGCTGTTGTGACCTCTGAAAAATACATCAGTGGATAGAATTTCTTCTCTTTCACCCCTCTTCTCTCACTTTGCGTCTTTCTTATTTGTGTGCCTCTAACACAACATAACATAACATAACATAACATAACATAACATAACATAACATATGAAAATATGGTTAAGCTGTAGTCTGTAACATTAGCATCCAGAATGGACTCAAGTCTCGACTGCCCCATTTCTGATCCAGCTCCCTGCTAATGCACTTGGTAAAGTAGCAGACGATAACCCAAATGCTTGCGCCCTGCAGCCATCTAGGGAACCAAGAGGAAGCTCAACTCTTGCTTTGGTCTAGCCCAGTCCAGGCATTTATAGCCATTGGAGGAGTAAAGCAACAACAAAAAAAACTCTCTCTCTCTAGCTCTCTCTCTCTAACTCTGCCTTTCAAATAATTTTTCTAAAAATATTTTTAAATGGAAAAGTAATAACTTAAGGTAATTACAGATCAAATTAGAAAAATCACTGAAGAAAAATGTGAGAAACACTAAAATTTCATCCTTTATGCTATAGTTATTTCACCATCACGTCAAAAGTTGTGTCATGCTATTTTAACAGAATGATCAGTTTCTATAATACAGTCTGGTTAACAGAACTTATTTTACCAACACATTTAAATGTTGCCTTCTTGGACTACAACTCAATTCATTTGGATCCCCATGCTTCCATATCCCAAATAGGTCAGACAAAGAAAAAATACCTCTATATTAATAGGAGTTTATCTGACCCCCCCCCAAAAAAACCCAGAAAGAATATTTAAAATAGTGATGGAAGAGATAGACGGATAGCCAACAGTTTCTGAGGTGTTATTTCCTTTGCCTTCCACTTCTCTGACGAGCAAGAGACGTGCCACCATCAGACTCAGTCCCCCACCAGAAATGTTACAGAATACTCGCACCCCAGAAACAGCAGCTCAGAATTGCCCTGTTAGACATACACTAGTGGTTGTCCACTGATCCAACACATGCACCAATGACAGACAGCTGTCATAGACACAAAAAAGCCAGAGAATGAAATCCTCTTCCTCCCACTCCATGAGGAGTCAGGATCCCCAGGTTCTGCCTGTTCTGATTCCATCCCATTCTCAATCCCCTCAGAGCCTCTGGTGCTTACTGCAAAAGCTGCAGAACAGCCCGGCAGAGGCTTGTAGGCGCAAGAAAGACAGAAGTAAGGCAATGCATAGTTTATTGACCCATCTGACAGAGTTGCCCTGAGAAAAGGGATGGTTATATTTAATAAGTGTTGACCACAGGTGAGACACTGAGCTAGATGCCTCACGTATATTCCACCTCATGGACTCAGTGGAGTAATTCACTTTAGAGAAGTCAACCGAGTACATGACAATCAGGTGCCTCTCCTGGTCTCCACCCTCAACTTGGTATAGTTCCAACAAGCAGAAACCAATGAGGAACATGGAAATGGTGCTCTCACAACTTACTGATGCCATGGAAGCACTCTGTGAATCTTACGTCTCATCACCCTTTTAAGGAGGTGATACTGTGGCATGGAAGTTATATAGCACAGCACTTGCTCAAAGTGAGAAACCAGGGGGTGACAGGAAATGGTGTAATTTGAATGTAGTTTAACTTTTTTATCCCCAACATTCTTTTAGCTGGTAGCAAGCCATCAGAACTGATAGGGGTATATAGCCAGAAGAGACAAGCCTACTGTGCTCTCCAGGGTCCTGCATTGTACATGAGAGGCCTGTCTCCATCATCCCACATCTGCCCCGTGGGACATGGAGTTCATGGAAGGAAGCCTCTCCCAACTCCAATCCCACACCCAAAGGGGATATTTCAAGCCAATCTCTTCTCTATCCCCACTAAGACTCATTTTTCCTCCAATAAGACACCAGAAGGAGATGTTTTAGTGCTTCCACTCACTGAGTGACAATACAGAATATTCTTTTTAAAAAGTCTTCTAAAGAGCACTATGAATGGCCTTAAACAAAAGCATTTTTAAAGTGCCCCATCTCATACTTACAATTTTATCACTCCATCCGAGCACCTGGAACACAGCTGCTGGCTGCTCTTGTCTTGCTTATGTTGACTCTGTCCCAGCTGAACAAATCTGCGAAGGACATTGGACAAAACTCAGCACAAGCAGAAGGTAGTTGCCATTAACGCAGATTACACAAAGCGGTGCAAGCTTTCATATGGCAGTGGTATGCTTGCTCCAGAAAAACACCTTGATGTACCTCAGGACTTGTAAAACTTGGTCTGATTATAGAGCGGGTTTGGTAGAAGGGATTCTGCTTACCAAGGAAGCCATCACCAGGGAATAGAAGATCAAACATGTACATCAGTGTGTTTTCAGTAACTGAACACTAGGCAAGACTTACATAGAAATGTCTTTGCAATTTGATACTAGATTTTCTACCTTTGTCTATACTTACAATGCCATGATACACTTAAATAACAGAATGTTAAACTTGTAACTGTTACTAAAGAACTATACTACTGCAATCATACGGCGGTGGGGATGGGGAGGGAAAAAGAGGAGGGGGAGTTGGGAATCTATATCTACAAAACTGTATCACAGAAAATAATTATTTTTAAAAAACACAAAGAGACAAAAAAAAAGAAAAAGATTGTATTTGAAACCACAGGGTTGCAGAGGTCTAAGGGACACACTGCAAATGCACAGAATGCAGGACGCATGCAAGCTATGCAAGAAGCATGCAGGGGTCGAGGGACACATGCAAGGAATGCGGGACACATGCAGGGAGGTGCCTGCAATGCCACAGATGGGACAAAATGAGCAGGTTCACGCTAGGGATATAGGGATATATAGTCTTGGCAGGGCCCCTGCCAAGACTCCCAGATGGGGGAGAGAAGAGTCTGCCCCCAAGGAACCTGCATCCACTTCTCAGAGGAACACGAAGGAGGAGACCACGGCCACCTCCCACTTCCTCCAAGCTGACTTAACAGCACTGGTCCTAGGCTAACTACTAGGAGATCACGGGTATATCCCCATGCCAGTTCCACCAGAAAGAGTGTACTCAGCACGTATTTCTGAAGGGTACACTTGTCTGAAGCCTCCCAGGTGCCACACGCTCTCACGCTCGTTTCAGGGACACAGTTTGGCATTTTTGTCTTAATGTGCTCATGTCAAGCATCCAGGCACAATTCCAGAGCTGAATTCCTTTCCATTCATTAACTTTCTCCTGATGAATATGAAGTAGGCAGGAAGGTAGCAAGGGGGAACCAAAGACTGCCCCCATCTGAGCCACCCTCAGGCACTCAGCACCCAAATGCCAGCCCCTCCCTGCCATGCCAAATCAGCATGGCTGCTGCCCTTAGCACATCTAGTCCCCATGTGACACCTAGGCCTCACTTCTCATTATGCACCATGCCCCACAACATTCCTAGATAGCTCCGTGCAGGCTGAAGCCCTGCCCCAAATATTGGATTTGAGCTGAATATTCAATGATATGTTTGGATATTTAATTAAGCACTGTCCCAGGCACCCTCGCCCATCTTATAAAAAGGGATGACTGGGAGTAAATTTGCAGCACTCATTCTCCCGAGTCGCCTGTACGAGCAGCTGAGTGTGTACTATCCCTTTAAGTGAATCTTTCCTGCTACATTTATCTATGTCTCCTTCTTGAATTCTTTTACAAGTGCAGGCTAGAGCCTGGACAAATTTCTGGAGGGAGTTGGGAGAAGGTCTCTGTCCCCCTTACTCTGGCTTACACCTGAAACGGATAATTTTATCATTTATTTAGTGATTATTTTAACATTTATTTATCATTTACGTCTTCATTGATTTTTTAGAGACCAAGAAAAGTGAAGCATAAGGTATACATTTTTGAATTATCACAGTGTTGCTGAAAGCCTTTCAAAGAACTTACTTTAATGCAAATTTTATCTTCACTAAATGAAAAAAAAATTGATGCGTTTTTTAAAGAGAATGTCATATAATACCAATATTTACAAGGAATTTTAAACTTTTTAAACAAACAATACTATCAAAATTGAAATACACATGTATTTAAAAAACAATGACTTGGGAGGCCAGTGCAGTGGCATACAAGTTAATCCTTAGCCTGTGGTGCCAGCATCCCACAAGTTCTAGTCCCAGCTACTCCACTTCTGATCCAGTTCCTTGCTTTGTAGTCTGGGAAAGCAGTGAAGGATGGCTGTCCTTGGGACCCTGCACCTACGCAGAGACCTGAAATAAGTTCCTGATTCCTGGCTTTGGATCAGCAATGGCCATTGCAGCCATTTAGGGAGTGAATCAGCAGATAGAAGATTTCTGTCTCCTCTATATATATCTGCGTTTCATAAAAAAATATTAAAAAAAGAAAATAATGATTTGGCAGTGATTAGAACAAAACCATAAGAGTCTCCAGAATTCCCCAGGAGGCTGAAGGTGGCCACATCCCATTACAGGAGAAAGGGGCTAACAGGTTGGTGAGTCCTCCTGCATCATATCCCTTTCCCCAAGTGTCCTCAGGTGGCCCCTCTGGGAGCTGTGATCTGAAGCCAGAGTTGCTGGGGTACCAGCCAAGTGGTTCAGAACTGAGGGGAAAGGAACACCTGCCCTCTGAATCAGAGGGGGCCAGAAGAAGCCCCGTGCCAAGCCAGGACACAGCAGGCACCACGCGGTCCCTGAACATCCTCTGCCCGTTCCCTGGCACAGCCACCTCACACATGCAGATGGAAAGGTGCTTCCTTTCCTTACAGCACTGCCCATGGCAGTCGGAGAAGGGAGATGTTCCCAGGCAGGAAAGCAGGCAAGGGAGAAGTCCAATGGGGGCAGTGTGTCCACAGCAAGCAGCTTCTCACAGAGACCAGAAGAATGGCCAGGCCCCTGTCTTCCTGTCCTTTTGCAGCCAACTGTGCATCCTATGCAGAAGCAGCTAACATGATCCAGAGCAGGGGTGGGGATCATCTGGCCTGCCAGTCATGGGAGGCTTGCAGACTTATCTGGTCTGGCCCTGCAAAGTTAACTGCAAGTGGGACTCGAACTCCAATAAATCTTCAGCAGGCTAATTTTTAAGGTAATGATTTCGTATTGGCCTTCAACTGATATTAGAAATATCCCAATGGCTCTTGGCAGAGAAAAGGTTCCCCACTGCCAATCAGGAGAATGAGGAGATGTAGAAAGTCAGTATCACAAGGTTACAGGAGTGTAGGCTGTCTCCTGGACAAGTCACTGAGTGCTCTTTCAGTGGGATAATGGTGTCTCGTGGAATTGCTACAGAGCTGGTTTTCAAAATATCAAACACCCACTCTTACTCCAGGAATCCTCCCTCCTCTGTAATAATCTTCGGCCTACAGGCCTGCTTTGGCTCTTTTCTTAGAATCATTCCACAGATGTCACAGGCTAACAAGGCTATTATCTCACCCACTAAGGAGGCAGAGTTTTGGGTGGCCCTGAGTTTAAGCAGCTCCAGGCCACAGCTACACTTAAAGTACAGGAATATTTCTTTTTACTTAATTAAGCAGAGTCAGCATTTCAGCTCCTGTTATATACATTCATGTTCTCTGCAATAAGAAAAAGCCTATGGGGGGAGGGGGGTCAGTGTGGTGGCTCAACAGGCCAAACCTCTACCTGCAAGGAGCAGCATCCCATATGAGAACCAGTTTGTATCCTGGCTGCTCCACTTTCCCTACAGCTCCTATTGTCTGGGAAGGCAAAAGAGAATGGCTCCAGTCCTTGGGTCTCTGTACCCGTTTGTGAGACCCAGTTCTTGGATCCTGGTTTTGGATCTGCTCAGGTCTGGCTATTGCGGCCATTTGGGGAGCGAACTAGCGCTGGAAGATTTTTTTTCTGTGTCTCTCCTTCTCTGTAAATCTGCCTTTGGGCAGCCACAAAACCCAGATCATCTATTCTTCCACAATACACTGGTCATAAAGACCTACCGTAACTGCTAAAGTGTTTGCTCAGAGAGTTTTGACAGCTGCAGTGCATGGGTGACTATGCTCAAGCACCCAGTGGTGAGGACAGTGTGGCTGGCCTCTGAGTAATGATGCCGGCTTCTGGTTATATGGCTGTACGCAAACTTAAGGCTGCCAGTTATGAGGTAGCTTTTACAGTCAACAAATGCTGATTATTTCATATTTGATATGTCAGCAGAGCAAATCTTGGCAGGTTGAAATAAAAAGCTGACATTACCTACAATCAACCAATTCTCCTTAAATGAATTACTGCAAATTAATGCTTATTTTTTGCTACAGAATTTATTCAAGCTGAATCTACATGAATGAAGTGGGGTCATATTCACATGCAGCAATGAAGTGTTCAGAATGTAAGACATTAGAGAGAAGGAAGAGTTTATGGAATGCCAACTGGGTTCCGAAGGACTTTCGGGTGAAGATTTTTTTTTCAATTTTATTTATTTTTACTTGAAAGGTAAAGAAAACAGAGATATCTGCTGGCTCACTCTCCTTAAAGTCCACAACAGGGAGGGCACCCAATCTAGGTTTCCCACATGACCCACTACTAAACCACCACTGCCACCAAATGGGGTTTGCACCTTAGCAGAAACAAGATCAGAAGTGGAGCTGGGACTTGAACCCAAGTCAAGGGTTACTTTGAGAATGACAACTAACAATCCTATCCTCAAAGGGACATACACAGACACAATAAAGCACATGATTTGGGGGAACACCTGACCGGATACTACTGTCTTTTCCTCCCTAGCCACTAGCCTACCGGTACTCCAGAGCTAAAGTGAATGCCACGGCTTCATTGTGTAACAAAGCATCTTGACCTTAAGGATGGATCTGTACTTGGTTTGCAGCCATATATTAGGATCCTTTGAAAAGTTTGTGGACAGTGTAATTAAAAGATAAGCTTGGAGGGTCTGGCGTGATGGCTCAGTGACTAAACCCTCACCTTGTACTCACCGGAATCCCATATGGGTGCTGTTACATGTCCCAGCTGTGCCACTTCTCATCCAGATCTCTGCTTGTGGCTTGGGAAAGCAGGTGAGGACGACCCAAAGCCTTGGGACCCTGCAACCATGTGGGAGACCCAGAAGAAGCTTCTGGCTCCTTACTTCAGATTGGCTCAGCTCTGGCCATTGTGGCCACTTGGGGAGTGAGTGAATCAGTGGATGAAAGATCTTTCTCTTCTTTCTCTCTGTTTCTCCTTCTCTCTGTATATCTGCCTTTCCAATAAAAATAAATAAATCTTTTTTTAAAAAAAAGATAAGCTTGAGCCCATGATATGGTAATGTAATGTAATGGGTAAAGCTGTTGTCTAGGATACCTGCAATGTATATAGGTGCCACTTTGTGCCCTGCTGCTCTGCTTTCCATCCAGCTCCCTGTTAGTGGCTTGGGAAAAGCAGCAGAAGATGGCCCAAGAGTTTGGGGCCCTAGCCAACCACGTGAGAGACCCAGACGAAGTTCCTGGTTTTGGTCTGACCCAGCTCTGACCATTGTAACCATCTGGGAAGTATGGTTGATTGAAGAATCTTGTCTCTCTCATTCCTCTGCAAATCTGCCTTTCAAATTAATAAATTTTTTTTAAATTTAAAGAGAGACATAGGCTTGAGAAATCCATGTGATGTCTGCTTATAATACGCATGTTCTACTAACACTGAGATCTCTTATGAGCATGTATGTCAAATATTTTTTCATCAAAATAGATTTCTCCTTTCATCCAATTCTCCATGATCTTTTTGAAGCACATTGGAAGTAAAAATGCACACATGCCTCAGTTTTTATGACTGTGAGTGGGATCTCAAGCACTGGGCCAAAGATAAATCACTGTTTCTGAATTTCACCTCCATCCTGTTCCCAGGAGAATTCATTTCCTTCCATATTGCTGTCTCTATGGGTATATGGTTATCATAGATAAGTTATTACAGTGATTTTTCATTTCCCCTTCAACATTCATGGTAAATTGTCCCACCTTGAATAAATGGACAAATCCTCATCTGATAGGCCGTCGGAGAGATTAATCCCATAAACTTCCTTCATGGACTGGACCACATTCTGGAGTTTTAAAAGAAAAAAAAAGGAATCAAAAGGCATTTTTAGATATCTAGCTTACTAATACTTTATGAGATGAAACAAATAAATCCACAATTTTTTCCTTAAAAATAAGCACAATATTCCTTCAACTTATCACATCCCTCACTTGATGATCTTTTCAAAAACTGGATTTCCACTTTCACTAAAAATGACTTATTTTAGGATAAAACACTGGTCAATAATTGCTAATTGTTTTTGGTATTATGCTGGGTTGGCAAACTTTCTGTTCAAAGGCTGGATAGTAAATACTTCAGGCTCTTTGAGTTAACCCACCTCTGTTGCAGCTCAGTTCTGCTGCTATGGTACGAGAGAGAGGATTTATATAACATGTATAGGTTCCAGCAAAAACTTTATTTATAAAAACAGGCAGCAGGCCGGATTTGGCTGATTGGCCGTCATCTCTCAACTCCTAGGATGATGGACTCAGTCCTTACATTTTTTCTCATTTTATTTGAGTTAACTGTCTCCGAATGACTTTTTTGGCAGCTTGTTCAATTCCCCCAGTGCTAGCATCTGGTTCTGTAGTTTATGTCTGCTCATCTTTTTCTAATACATTAGTATCACTCAGTTGCCTACGAATGCATAGACCGTGCCTCAGTCTGAGTCACCTAACTGGGCGTTTCCTGGCTAACTCGGCCCCGCACCTCAGTTGCTTTGGCACTGTCTCCCGCGTCTGTCATCTTCACGGGAGTGGAGCGCTGAGACACGGAGCCCTCGTCCTCCCGGTCAGTCCCGGAGTCATCTTCGGAGCTGCTGGACACGGCCTCCTCGCTGGGGGGCGGTGGGGCGCTCGCCGCAGTCTTCCGTTGCAGCACAGTCTCTTCTCTGTTGCTTTTGTTTCTTTAAAGACATGAACATGGCTGAGCGGCGTCTTTCAACTGAACCTCCATGATTTGGTGTGTGCCTGGTTCCAGGGAAGCATAAGCAGACGACTACCAGAAACTAGTTTCTGGGTTCAAGTTGTTCCTCAAGAGAAATGTTTAAGTGTTTACGATTGCTAGTGAAGTCCTGACTTAACAGGAACCTAAACCTTGTCACACATTTTAAGATAAGTACTTGTAAGTGCCTACAAGGTGGTGTAGCCTGCTAATCCTCCAGCATCCCTTATGGGCACAGGTTTGTGTCCTGGCTGCTCCACTTATCTTTCTCCCTGTTAATGTGCCGAGGAAAGCAGCAGAGGATGGCCAAATTCTTGGGACCCTGCATCCACATGGGAGACCCAGAAAAAGCTCCCAGCTTTGGATCAGCTTAGCTTCAGCCATTGTGGCCACTTGGGAGATAAAACAGCAGATGGAAAATCTCTTCCTTTCTACAAGTCCATCTCTCTTTGTATCCTTTTTAAGAACCTACTTGCAGAGTACAAAAAGATTCTTTTTATCAACTTGACTGCCTACCAAGCCTACTTTGGAACTAAAATCAGAATTTTCAAAACACATGGTAAAATAACAGAAGATGATGCTTGAGATACTAGTAAAACTGTCCATAATTTGTAAAATTTTCAGGGAAAAAAAAGGGCAAGAGTCAAATCCAGGTATCAATTAGTGCACCAAAATAATGAACTGATGAACACAGGCTAGATTTACAATCTGCTGAGTTATTAGTAAACATGTACACCTGCTGAACACCCCCTCTGATGAGCAGAGAACAGATGGGACAGAAACACAGCACAAAGCTGGGCTCTTCTAGAAGCATTTGCTTTCATTTTAGTGCCAAGTTTGAGAATAGTAAGAATCTTTTTTTAAATTCAGAAAATATTTTACAGTAATATTTTTGGCTTTTATTGAACATGTTTGATATTTCAGCCTTAATCTTTTCATTTAGTGGGGTTTTTCCAACAGGAAAAAGAAAAGATTTACTTATCTGCTTATTTGAAAGGCAGAGTAGCAGGGAGAGGTCTTCCATCTACTGGATGACTCCTTATCCTTTCCCCAGATAGCTCCAACAGTCAGGTCTGGGCAGGCCAAACCTGAGAGCCTTCCATCCCAGCCTACCACACAGGTGACAGGGTCCAAGCACTTGGAGCCATCTTCTGATGCTTTCTCTGACACCTTAGCAGAACACTAAGCTTGAAACGGAGACTTGACTCAGCATCCTGATTTGAGATGCCAGCACCGCAAACAGTGGCTTAACCCCATACACCACAACACTGACTACAGTACCATAATATTCTGAACTAGACTATGCAAGGAAAAACTCTGTGCTACATACTAACAGAGTTATCCTTTACTTCTTTGGCCTGGGAACATCCTGTGGACTTTCCTTCTTTGAAATTCCTCTGAGCCCTCTGCCAAGGGTTCAACATAAAAGCTATTTAAAGGCTACATATTTAAGTCACAGATACAGTACAATGTATCTGGAAAGAATGAATAACTATCACCTTGTATAAATCACATGCAGCAAGAATCCAATTAAGTCCCTGTACACCCTCCCAAATACAATTAGGACTCCACATCTACAGTCAGGCCAAGGTTGCTGGTGAGAACATAGGAGGAACCCTGTCCTCACGAGGAGGCAGGTCAGGGGCGCTGAACAAGAAGCTAGTGCCAAACAGCACGTATCCTGCCAGTCTGTAAGCACCAAGATGCAGATTCTGACATATTTCTTCTTCATATTGAATATAATAAAATCACAGTCTCCCCCAAAGCAATGTTACAGTGGCACATCGCATATCAATTCAGTTCTCAACCAAGGTATGTCTGCTTTGGTGATCCTTAGCATGCTAACAAAAAAATACAATGAATATAAACTTGCACTTAAGTATTTTATATTTAGAAAGAGAGATGACTGAATTTTTTTTTTATTACATTGCATTATGTGACACAGTTGTAGGTCCTGGGATTCCCCCCACTCTCACCCCTCCCCCCATGGTGGATTCCTCCACCTTGCTGCATTGCCACAGTTCAAGTTCAGCTGGGGTTCTTTCATTGCAAGCATATACCAAGCATAGCATGTATCTATTATATATGTCACTATATATGTCACATATATAATAGATATACATGAGAAAGATATATATATTATTTATGTCATCTATTATATTTCCAACTTTAAATTATATGACGTTTTATTTCATTGGAATTCTCCTAAATCCTATCTTCAATGTTGAACACTTCAGGAATCCCAATGCTATAAATAAATTACTTGTTTAGATGCAATAAATGAACTGTGTCCCAAACTAGGTGAGTTAAAGTTACTAGTTTTGGTGAACATTAGAGCGCAACAAGAATCTTTAAAATGAATGAACATGAATCTTTAAAATTCCAATCTGCCCGTAAATCTTACCCCAATACTGATTTTCCCGTTTCATCCGGCTTCCGCACAGTAAATGGACTTGGATCAATGCCAACGGTCTTTGGCATAAAGTCACTAAAAAATAAAAATAAATTAAAAAATCAAAGTCCCCCTAGAATCGCTGTCCATCAGTAAGACTGGCTTCTCTCTCAGTTCACACTATTACGGGATAGTCCTTGCTCAGGGCGTGTCAGGTGATCAAGAGCCTGAAAACCTATGAAACTAACGGCACGGGCCAACATCAGGGTCAGAGTCTCCACTGTGAACCCTCTGTGACAGCCAGGCCCAATAGCCTTGAAATGAGGCTTTTGTTTCCTGGAACAGTGCTGGTATCAGCCCTCCTGCGATGACCATCTGCTTACCCAGCATAATCTAAACTCTCAGGTGAAACTAAACTTGTGAAAACCAATGGCAGAAACACTGAACCATTTAGTTTTAAGGACAACACTTTTTAAGCTCCACCACTAAATGGGGTAGACATTAATGATCAAAATACAGTGACGTGAAAAAATGTCAGGGTTGACCTCCCTGGGCTGCAGTGAATTCATCTAAACACTGCTGGAACAATGACTGGAAACTGCTAAAATTTCCCATGGAAGCCGCCTCATACAACAGGGCTGCCCCGCTGCTGCTGCCACAGCCAGACCCAGGTGCCAAAAAGATAACTGCTCCATGATTTATTCTGGGGCTCCTGGTTCCTGGCTTCTGGCAAGTGTCTGACTGAATTTGTAAAGGAAATTAGAATAACCCTGAATCTGGTTCAAAATACCTAAATTTGAACTTAAAAAAAATGCTAATGGTTTGCTTTTCTTTCCTTCTTTCTGAACAGCTGATGTTCATCATTTGTAGATTCCACATGTGCAAGAATTTACTCAAATCAACACCAACAGTGCTGCCGCAGTCCTTCACAGACACGCACAGCAGTAAACAATTTCAGGCACCCCGTGCTGATGTCCCCAGTGGAGGCTGGAATAAGGTGTTCTCTGCCTTTTTATTTCTGCCTCCCTACAATAAACATGTGTCCTTTATACAGTCTGTTTAGTCCCATGTTTTTCACCTGTGTATGTATGTGTGTGTGTGTGCACATGCATGCACACTTCTTGAGAGGGGATCTAGCACTTGAAAGAGGTCCCCTGGCATGCGATGCGTCTTGCAGAGGAAAACACCTGTGTCAGATAAGCTTCAGGCTGGATTAACCAATCAACTACATGTGAAGGAGCAGCACACACAAAAGCAGGTTATGTCCTGGCTTCACGATGAACACACTCTTATCGGGGTTCACAGGAATTTTGTTTTATTCCTCTGGGGAGCAATGGCTAAGCATTCACTTACTCAGTGTTAGCAGTACCATTATAGGACAGAATTAACACTAAGAAAATCAACTATCTGCTGAATATTCATATATGGATAATGCCATTTAGCCTTTGTAGAACTAAACAATTCCAAAAATGATAAAAAATTAAAGCCACTAAATTTGAACAAGCTTGGCTGAAAAATTAAACCACTAAAATACTTCAGAATTCTCCTGACCATCTGAACAGGAGCTAAGGAGTAATTTATAGATGACAAAACAATAGAATATGTTTTTGCATACATCACATCTGAAGGAAACATAAAACATAAAAGCTTAACCTTTCTTATAATATTTCATAATCAAGAAATAATTTTGCTTTGCTCATCTATCTTATCCTAATGTCACCATTTTTCCTGAAATTACCTAATTCTAACAGACACAGGAAAGGAAGTATGTTCAAAGGTGATCGTTAGAATGGGAAGACTCTGGAAACCTCATCACATGAACTACAGAAGAAAGGATGAAGGTGGAGAGTTCCAGGGAAGGTAAAAAACCAACCTATTGCATTCTCCCGTATCTGGAGGCCTTGATAAGGCTAGGAACCACATGTGATTTGTGCCTAATCACAAGTAATGTGGGGCCTGGAGCGATAGCATAGTGGTTAAAGTCCTCACCTTGAACGCGCCGGGATCCCATACGGGAGCCAGTTTTAATCCCAGCAGCCCCGCTTCCCATTCAGCTCCCTGCCTGTGGCCTGGGAATACAGTTGAGGATGGCCCAAGACTTTGGGACCCTGTACCCACGTGGAAGGCCTGGAGGAGGCTCCTGGCTTCGGATTGGCTCAGCTCCAGCCGTTGCGCCTGCTTGGGGAGTGAACCATTGAACGGAAGATCTTCCTCCCTGTCTTTCCTCTTTGTTTTTTTTGTTTTGTTTTGTTTTTAAAGATTTATTTTTATTATTTTTTTATTGGAAAGGCGGATATACAGAGAGGAGAGACAGAGAGGAAGATCTTCCGTCTGATGATTCACTCCCCAAGTGAGCGCAATGGCCAGTACTATGCCGATCCGAAGCCAGGAGCCTTTTGCGGGTCTCCCACGTGGGTGCAGGGTCCCAAAGCCTTGGGCCGTCCTGGACTGCTTTCCCGGGCCACAGGCGGGGAGCTGGATGGGAAGCGGGGCTGCCGGGATTAGAACAAGCACCCATATGGGCATGCAAGGCAAGGACCTTAACCACTTGCGCCACTGCACCGGGCCCGTGTCTCTCCTCTTTGTATATCCGCCTTTCCAGTAAAAAAAATAAATAAATCTTTTTAAAAAAAAACCAGTAATGTGATAATTAGCATGTATTCATCACCTCCTGCGCCAGGTGCATTAAGCACTGTGTGTGTATGTGTATATGTGTGCATGAGAATATGAACCCTACAGAATTAAGATTCAAATAAGCTGCCCTGTGTTCTTAAGATTACAGACATAGTAGTTAACCTCCCTTTTAATACCCAAAATTATGCTATTTCTATTCACTTATGTTAGCTTGCAATTTCAAGGTTCAATGAAAAAGCTCAGTTTATTTCAAATGGCAAACCAGGACTAATAGAAGAGAAATTCACTCTAGGTGACTAACAGGAACAGGGGCTGCTGCTTGAAACCACAGATGGCCCATGACTGGAGAGCATGCAGTGGGGACTACATACTCACCTGACAGTAGGCGTGCACAGGGCAGTTCTGGTAGAGCAAGACCTGGGTCTCACAACTAGGAAAATCACAGTTCTCAAAATAGCCCAGAGGACTCAGATCATACCGTGCTGAACTCGTCATAGCCAAGCAAAAGGTGTCGTCAAAACTGCTCAGTTCATACGGCCGGAAGAACTCATTATGGATATCAATTTCTTCTTCGTATCTGTGAAACTTCTTCACTACCAACTTCTTTAAGTTTGCAGCACAGATAACTGAGAGAGACACACCTGTTACTCCAAAAGTCTTTAGATGACAACCAGCAGACATTTAAGGAACCCCCAACTGTGCCCACAGAGAGAGTTAGCGTGAACTCAGCAGGGCTCAGCTCTTTCTTCCGGCACTGACACACTGCCCAGGTAACACACTGTAAAGTTCAGCGTGACAAGCAGGGAGCTATGTTGGAAATTCAATTCCTCAGCTCTTCATGTTCCCTTTTGGTCTTAAATAAACACTCCATGTTCAAACTAAAATACACACAGCTATTGTGTGAAGTTTCCCTTTGTAGTTCAAATCATATTAGTAGCCAATAAAACCTTTATCATCTCCCAGAACAAGCAAATTTTCTTAATCTTATCGAGTTAGAAATACCTTTCCAAAAAATGAAATTAACATTTATTAAGAACTACATATTATTTTCAGTCCCCTTATTTTATGGTCTTCAACACACAAAATTGGGATGGTGAACCACAACTACACTTAATCCTCAGTTGTGCAGGTTGGCTGGGGATCTTACTAGGTCCCCTTTCACAAGTGGCGAACTGGCTTGTCTAAGTTCAGGAGAATTATAATAAATCCAGGAATTAACTGATTCTAAAATTGAGCAATTATTTACATTTGAAAACATTATTTCCAATAAAAAATAGTAATAAAATTAAATCTTAAAAAAATATTCTATGCAAAGGATTTCTGCTTCAAGTTGTTAGGTGTAAGTCCAAAATATCTTAGCATAAAAATATAAAGAGAAATAGTTACCTACCTTCATCGTAAGGCAATGGTAAATGCTTTATTACTTCTGGCGTCCACCAGTAAGTATAACTACAAAATTAAAAAAAAAATAAGGATAAAACACACCAAACATAAATGCTGGTTTTCTGTATTCATTGGGTAAAAATGAGTTGTTTGATCCGTAGTGGGATGTTGTCTCCTACTTCAGAACTTTTTCTAACATGTTTCCCAGGTTTTTGACACAGTAGGTCTTCTGCACACTCATTCCCTCCCTATACCCTTTCTAGTTTCAATTCTGTCACAGGCCTGCATTTATGTCATGATGGTCTGTGGCTAGTTACTGTCCGCTTAAAAGGATTTAGATACACAGTTCAAGCTTCTCTATTCCAGAAATCTAAAATCCTAAATGTTTCAAAATCCAGAATTTTTTCACCATCAAGATACCCTCAAAGCTTCAAGAGTGGTCACTTAGCCTAGCAATTAAGATACACCTGCCTGCCATGGTGGAGTGCCTGAGTTCAAGTCCTAGCTCCAGCTTCTGACCGCAGTTCCTACTAATGGAGACCCTGGGAGGCAACAGCGACAGCTCAAGTTTAATCAGGTCTCTGCAACCCACAACCCACGTGGGAGATCTGGATAGAGCCCTTGTCCACTCCAGACCTTCCGAAGCATTTGGGATGAACAGGGCATGGGGGATAAATAATAATGTTCTCTCTCTCTTTTCCCCCTCTCCCTCTTCTTCATCCCCCCTTCCTTCCCTCCCCTCCTCTTCTCTAACAAGTAAAGACAAGAAGACAGTTCCAGATGTGGAGGAGTTTCAGATTCCTGGATGTGTACATAAAATTGCAAAGTCTATGTAAATATTCTCAAATCCCCCAACCCCCGCAAAAAAACAAAAACCCAAACAAAATCTGAGACCTTTTCTAGTAAGGGACCCTCAAGGTGTCCTAAGCCAACTTTAGAAGCTGCTGCTTACTTCTCTCAAGGACTGTGCCTGTTCTCTAGGCTACCAGAGAAACACCTGGACCTTGACCCAAGTCCTGCCTCCTGGAGTCCCACTCATGCAGCAAGTTGAGAGTTACAGGACTGTTTGTGCTCTGCTCTATGTGCACACCTCCCCATGCACACTCAGAGTTGAACAAAATCACTCAGGAATAGACAAGATAGCCCTCATGAGTAATTCCCCTGAGAAAACATATTGGCTGTTCATCTTCACCTGTAAATTTCACTACTTCATTGCAGAGGCTAGTAAAGTCAAGAATTTCAACTACTTGGATTTCTGCCAGAAGACTCATTTTCCATAAGCAAAGAATCTGAAAGAAGTCTGACTGCTTTCTCTCCAAATGCTGGATTTAAGTCTAAATCCAATTCTGATGAAATGGATATTTAGAACTGGGAAGAAGCACTATGTTAAGGCTCATGAGAGCTAGCAGGGGGAACAATGGAAAATGGAATAATAAAATGTTTTCAAAAAAGCAGATTTCCAAGAGTTTAGAAAATGCTAAAAAGAAGACAATATCAGCAAAGGCTTTCTTAAAAAAAAAAATGTTAGAGTCATAATCTTGTCCAATTCCTGATGAGGAGGAAACAAGGAGCCATCCAAATGAAACAGTCAATATCAGGAGTTCTCCCAGGTTGCTGCGAGCAAATTACAAACCAAGGATGAGCACAAAGGAACAGGGAGCCTGGTGCATTACCAGTGTAGAGCATGCTCTCCTTATAGGAAGGGCTCCTGACATGGTATTTGAGACTGAAGTTTGGCTTCAGAGCAGGACTTCTCCAAGTTCAATACACAGGTCACTTGCACAGCTTGAGACAATGAGGAGGCCTATTGGGATTTTACATTTAACCCCATCTTAGTTCAGGCTTCAGGAAGGCCTGATTGTAGAATAGGCCACAGTCTGTCCGGTAGGTGACTTCACCTTATTGAGGAAAACCAGGTTCCATGACTCTCACATGGTTCTTTATGGGAACAAGATCAGGGTGGAGGCAAGCCTCCCTCTGGGCAGGGATTGATGCTTGGAACGTTGTCATGTAAGCCTGGTTGCCATAAAGACCAAGAAGACAGGGGATCACAGGCCTGTGTTCATGAGGGGTCGCTTACATAGCACCAGACTGACCAGCAACTAGGAGGACAGCAACTGAAACACTTGATCAATGAACGCACTTGCTAATAATTGCTGTTGTAATCTGCAAGTAATCTCAGACCCTAAGAGTTACATCGTGCTTGATTTGTACACATAAAATAAAAACATAGTCAGAGGGTTGCTCTGGGCTCTTGTGCCTAGCAGTGCCAAGAGTCAACCCTGGTTCCTGCTGTTTCTTCATCTTGTGTTATTCATTCTTAATTCTTCCTATTTCTAGTTAAGTCTTTCAGTGCCCATTTCTTAACCTTGTTCTTCACAAGACTGCTGTGTGCTGACAGGTAACAGAGCCCAAGTCATTTGATGGGTCCCAAGATTCTGTATTTATGAGAAATATGGCTAATGCCAAAGGGGCTGGCCCTCAAACAGCTTTTTCAATTGTAAGGTTTTAAGGCAGAGTTGGGGAACCATTCTATGCCAACGACCATCAGATATTTACAACATTCATCTGTGGGCTATACAAAGTTACCAACGTAGAAATCCGACTAGCTCAAGTCCCACCTGCAGATAATTTCCTTGGCAGGACCAAATCAATCACTTTGTAGGCCTGATTTGGCTTTTGGGTTGGATATTCCCCATTCCTGCTTTAGAGGATGAAAAAGAACAGGGAAAGGATAAATTCCCCACTTACAAAGTCATTTGGCATTTATTAAGTACTTGCTCTATGTCAGGCATGGCTCAGTATTGGAAGTGCTATAGTGGAAATAATGAGAACATAGAGCTACTGGCTTCCAGTATTGTCATTATCTTCACCAAATATGAGAACTAAAACACACACATACACACAACATAGAAAAGAGGGAACTATGTACCTGAGACAGAAGAAAGCAATAGTGCATCTGTAAAAGCACTGAAGTATCCTAGTGCCGCTGAGATAATCATCTTGAAGGACTAATGAAGAACAGAACATAAGGTGGAAAATGGGCAAATGCAGTATGATGCTCTACGCTGAGAGGGTGACAGATCTCCAAAAACCATCCATGAATGAGCGAGCGTGTCAATCCCAGCCTGATCACAGAATGAAGCAGCGACAGTGATGGGCTGTGAATGACCTAATGAGATGACTGGCGAATTCTAGGAAATCAGATACATTCACTAAAACAAGCCTCACACCAGCCTAACATCATTTTCTCTTCTGATAAGAGAATCAAACTGTCAAGTGGAGGGAAGGAAAAAGATATGAGCTAATTGTTTCAGAGGAAGGTGTGCACTTGTGTGTGAAACTCCCACTCTGGTGACCCAAGCCTGACGGAAGAGGAAAAGTAGAGAGGCTGCCAGTTGCAAAACATATGTGAAGGTTAGCAAATCAATCCACATTTGTGGAAAAGGGACTGTGGGCGGGGAAAGAGGTGTCACCACACCAACTTAAGAGTTGTTTAAATGATGCCAACCAAAAGCATGAAGCAATGTTCAATTGGGGAGCTTTCTGATCCTTTACCACAACAGGTCTCTCCATCTCCCTTAGTCTACTCAACATTTTTCATCTAGAACTTGTATTAGGAAAGATGGCCAACTGATTAACTTTGAGGAATAGATGGAATTACAAAAATTAGTTAATAAAAATATTAAAATATGAACATTTTTTCTAGTGCAGTCATAACATAAGTGAGCATAACAAAAAAATGTATAAATTCAACATCACAGCAGGACATGATAAAAAAAAAAGGACAGGAATCTCCAAGAGTTCATATAGCAAGTGAGTAATGGTCCCAGCTGTCCCAGAACAGCTGGCACAGATGAGAGCAACCTCTGTCCACTGTGGGACCTAGGAATGGACACACTGATGTCAATTAGAATATCTACACAGATGACAGCACTTGACTTGGGAGGGCGGGTTCTTGAAACCATGGTCTATGAAGAACAGCAGAAAAAGGAAAAAAAAAGAAAACGAAGATTGAATCTGGAGAATAGCTTCTAAGAATGCATGACCTGTCTTCCAACACTGTCACACAAAGAAGGAGATCACGTCTATAGGATCTAGACAGACTGAACTAGGATTAACAGAACACAAGAAGGCACATCTCAGTATGAAGTGAGGGAGGACTGTGTCATGAATTGTCCCCAAACAACTCCTTCCTCGAGGGGACATGCTCCAGTAGACAAACCACAGCTCATCAAGCATAAGTCAGACGCCAGGGCACAGAAAGAGAACTCAGATCTGACAACAAGCAAGGCCAAGCCAGAGCAAATGACATAATCAATGCTTACTAGCTGGAAACATGGTGGTGACATTATCGACACTGGCTCAGTAAATGACAGCAAAGATGATACAAACCATGCTGGTCGAACTCAGGACAAGGCTCCAATGAGGACCCTTAGACAGATGAATAAATGTGGGACTTCAGATGGTAGAGTTACTTCAAGAGGACCCAGTATGTATAAACTCTTGGGACAGTAAGGTTTAGTGCCCCTTCTCATACTATTAAAAAACAACAATAATTCAGCATAAATCATCAGTAAACACAGTATAACATATAGATTGGCTACCAAGTCTGAAAATACAAATATTTAATATACTGTTTAGCATTATTATAGTATAATAAGAGATAAACTCTAAGTTTCTAAATCTTGTGAGCATCCTGAATGACTGTTAGTGAACATTTAAAACTGGTTAATGCAATCTTTGTAGAGAATAATAGCAACAGTCCTAACATCTAATAGACTTGATTTGTGCTAAGCATTTCTACGACTTGATTCCTGGAGGAACTGACAAATCATTCTATTCTACTGATGTGGAATCAGAATTAGCCAAGTTCAATGATTTGCCCAAAGTCAGTGAGTTGTCACTGCAGTTGCGGCTCTTACAGCGAGGCTTCTTTGTGCTGTGTCTATTCTGAGCAGGGCCCAGCATGAAGTTGTCCCCATGTAGCTCTCACTGAAGCCTGAAAACGACCCTGTGAGGTCTGGGAGAGAGTCATCCCTTTTTCAGAGATAAAAATGAGACACTGAGTGAGAAGACTTCACACATGTGCAGAATGCCCACTCAATTCTCTCAGAACCCCAGTGCCCATTCTCTGCCTCTGGCTAATGTCCTGTTCCTGCCTCTGGCTAATCTGTCCATTTCTTTTGAGAACTGCTATGGCAGAATGACCTGGAGCAGCAGGAGAGTTGGGGAAAAGGGTTGACATAAGAAAGTCCCAAACACAATACTGAAAATATATCTTCCGGGATTTACAAATTTTGTTCATGAGCAGTATTAATGAAGGACACTGTAAGATGATCTTTGGACTCTGGCTATTCTAGAGGAGGGAGAAAAATAAAAACAGGAGACTAAACCAACAGAGTGAGCCACAGTGTTTGATAAAAATTTATATTCATTAGTACGCTTATAGCTGATTTTGTACTAAATTAGCTGAATAATCTCAGACAAGATGATCTCTTTCGTTCCTTGGTTTCCATGATTAGAAAATGGGAAGTCAGGCCAACTTCCTTTTATTTCCACTTATAAGTTCAGAACTGCCTGCCTTAGTTATGTAACCAAGGGTAAGCAAGTGGTCTGATTTGTGTTTGTAAAATATAGCTAATTTTTGCTATAGAAAGCCATGCCTTTGCTGTTCCAGAAGCATATCTTAATACCTTAAGATTTTAAAGTAATATGAAATTTTAGAAAATAAATCACATTTACATAAAAACAACTGCCATCAGTAAAGCTACAAATAAGTATTTGTAGCTATCTCGTATTACGCATTAGTTCCGAGTTTTTTCTCAGTAAAAATTCACATAAGCAGTCATTTGTTCATAATAAGCTTAATAAAAACCATTACTGCTTCATTTATAGGGATAGTAAACTTAAGCATTAAGGTGGTTATTCCAGTAACATGTATTGGTGAGAATACTGGCGAAACCTAAAAACTCTGAGACTTGCCTAATGTTTTAAATTCCCCTGAGCCAATGCAGGATTTGGTAACAGCTACAACATCAGTACTTGGTAATTCAGGGGTTGTCTGTGGTCTGCCCACACAATTAGCACAGACTAATGCTGGCTCCTATAGTGCCTGGCAAGCACTGGTGGACAGAACAACAGCCACACTAAACTGAGACTGCAAGAGAAGAGTTTTATAGGAGAGTCTGATGTTAACAGCCTTTAAGCAGACTGAACTGGACTCCAAAGTCACACATGTGAAAAATTTTGCCCATGTGCCTCTTGAGGAATCTTTTCATTAAACCCTCCCAATGACTCTGTACGGTATATCCTGTAGATGAGGAAAATGAGGCTTAGAAAAGTCTGGCATGAATTCAAAGTCACACCACCGCAGAGATTCCACTGAAATCTACCACCACCCTGAAGCCATCACATTAAAGTGCTTCAGATAACTGTTCATTTCTTTTGAGAATGTCAATACCAATTGCACTATAACCTGCAATGGCCTATCTCTAGAGGAGGGGTAGCTAGATGGCAGCTGAGGAAAACACTCCAGCAATTGTCTACAGAGATACCAATTTGAGCAGCTACCCACATACTAACCATCTTCACAAGAACTAGGGAAGCCCAGTGGGCAACCACAGAGCCCATTTCTTAGTGTCACAAATAAACACACCCTGAAGAAGGCAGGCAGGAAAGAGTGGCCCTCCCTCAAATCCAAGTTGCCCAGCCTACCAAGGGAGGCCTCCCTCTTGAGGAAGGGAGATGAAATTAAGTTTAGATCTTACACTTGATGCCTAGCAATGCCAAACAGGGGCACAAGCATCAGCATTGGCCACAGCAGGTGCCTGGAGATCACATCTGAGACTACTGAGGTTCCCAAGGCTTGAAAACTTGGGGGAAACCGAGCTCAGAGTCTGCCTCAGTAGCTTTGCGGCAACCTCCACAAACCCTGGGCAGACAGTAGAGTAAGACTCCAGCCCTTGGGGAGTGGAGGAGGAAGGTGAGCAAGAGGCTTGGCCTTGGAGCTCAGGGTTGGGCCTGCTACAGGAGACTCAGTGCTAGATGAAACACACAAGACCACTGCTTGGAGATGGAGCCTACGGTCTGCCTCAGCATCAGCTGGCAACCAAACCTGCTCTTTGGAAAGACTAATGGAAAATAATAGACAATTAGAATAAACCCAGGCATCTATATACAGCTGATCTGGGACAAAGGTGTTACAAACATACATTGGAGAAAGAACAGTCTTTTCAATAAGTGAGGAAGGGAAATTAGCTATCTGTATGAAACTAGGTCCCTATTTATCTCCACATACCAAAAAAAAAAGAATCAACTAAAAATGGAAGATTTTATTATAATACTTAAAGCTATGAAACAACTAAAAAATGACATAAAGGAAGTGCTTCAGTAATATGGAATGAACAAGTATTTTTTGGGTAGGAGCCCTAATACATAGAGAAGAAAATCAGGGCCCACTGTGATGGCTCAATGGTTAAATCCTCACCTTGCAAGTGTTGGGATCCCATATGGGCTCATATCCAAGCTGCTCCACTTCCCATCTAGCTCCCTGTTTATGGCCTGGAAAAGCAGTAGAGGATGGCCCAAACCCTGGGGACCTCACACGTGCATGGGAGACCGAGAAGAGGCTCTGACCCCTAGCTTTGGATCAGCTCAGTTCCAGCTGTTAAAGCCATTTGGGGAGTGAATCGGTGGATGGGAAACCTTTCTCTCTGTATATCTGATCTGCCTCTGTAGTAGAAATAAATACATCTTTAAGAAAATGAAAGAAGGAAAAGGAAAAATAAATAAATGGGACTTTACAAACTGAAAAGAAACAGAAACAACACACTCACAATAACAATAATATTTAAAAGTGAGCAATAGTTCTAAACAGACTTTTTTCAAAAGACATACAATTGGCAAACAGGTACATGAAAGCAATAATCAGCATCACTCATCATTAGGAAGATATGACTGGAAACATCAATGAGATATCACCTGACTCCAGCAATAATGACTACTATTCCAAAGACAAAATATGACAATGTTGGCAAGGTTGTGCGGAAAAAGGAACCCCTGCAACAATTTTTGGTGGGAATGTAGATTAGTACCGTCACTGTGGAAAACCGCATCTTGATATCTCAAAAAAATGAAAATAGAATCATCACATGAACCAGCAATTTCACCCCTTGGTAGATATCCAAGGGAAATGAAATCCATCTGGCAAAGAGTGCAGATGCACTCCTCTGTTAACTGGGCCACTATTCACAATAGCTAAAGAATGGAAACTAAGAGTCTATCAACTGATGCATGATAGAGAAAATGTGGCGTATAGACACAACAAAATACTATGTCACAAACAGAAAGGGGGAAGCCCTATTGTTTATGACAACATAGATAGAACTGGAAATCATTACATTATTTAAAATAAGCCAGACACAGGGGGAAAAAAACCAGCATCATAAGATTTCATTCACAGGTGAGATCTTAAAATGTTCATCTCAAAGAAATTGAGAGTACAATGATGGTTGCCTGAATCTGGGCAGAGAGGGAGAGCAGTCTGGAAAAAGGTCAATGGGTACTATGTTACAGTTACATCAGAAAAAGAAGTCCTGATATTCTAGTCTATGAGGATAACTATGAATGGCAGTAATATACACAACTCAAAGAGATGACTTTTGAAAAACATTTTCACCACAGAAAGATGGCATGTTTGAGAAAACAGATAATCTTTTCCTGATTTGAACATTACACAATATCAACACATTTTGAGATATCATATGGTACCCCACTGACATGTACAATTTTATGCATCCATTGAAGATTAAAAACTCCTGCACTGGGAAATGATTCTAGAAAGCCAAACTGAGCGGTAAGAATGATGGCAATAGCTAATTGCCACTAGGAGCACTGCTCTGGTTTTCTGCCTTCACCTGTATCAATGACAATTGAGTTCTCCTAGAAGAAAATAAATCAGAATTACAAAGAAACTGCTGTTTACACGCTGCACTTGAGAAACTAGAGACAGACTCCTTGAATAGCATTAGGTTTTTAAGAAACTGTCAAAAATGATGGCTTGCTTAAGGGGAGCTATAACATATGTTCAAGTATGAAGTTCTGAGATGGAGGGAAAATACAAAACACAAAGCTAACCACAATTTCCCCAACCTATTATCAGCATATCCACATCACTCCTCCAGAAGCAAACATGCAGGCAAAGAGCCCGCTCTAGTCTGATTACTTCTCAAAAGTACATCAACTCTGAGATTATATAATAAAGGAAATACCTTCTTCTTGTCGGCAAAAGTCTCATGGTATTTTTGTGATGCAAATAAAAATCTGTTGGGAGTTCCCAGAGATGAGGTTTCCCTTCAGTAGGATGGAAAACTCCCAGGAAAAGATTAATGGAATCCTGTCTATCAGCATCTACAAAGCAAAAACATGCTTTGTTAGAAAATCCATCACAATACTGGCATATACAACACAGAACAGAGTCCTCAAGGGATAGTAGTACAACTACGAATTCACAGGACACATCTCTGGAAATAAAAATAGTATTTACAATGCCCATTTACATATGTATAACTTACATGCATAAATATATCATCAAAAATTACCAGGATATTAAGCAAAGTCAAAATCTTGCTTCAGATGGTTCCCTTTTCTTTCATAATAAAAAGGAAAGCAAACTTAAACTGCGTGAATTTTCAGATACAATTAAATATCTTTAAGAAATTCTATCATAACTTTAGATCATGATTTTTATTGTTAAAATCAAAACATGTCTTCTTTGCCTCTTGACTTAGAGTAAATACAACTTCATTTTGTGCACAGATAAGCAGGGATACCAGAAACAAATAAAATACCGCCAAGGCTATCCATGTAGAGTTGCACGGCCTTAACCAAGGCAGGTGCACAGTCTCCACTTTTCTTCCTTGAAAAGACATTGTTGGTTCTCTGGCTGACAATGAAGGCAGAGAGAGCTCATGAGTAACAGCCTCGTTCTAATTATTCAGCCATTCTAAAATTGTCTTTCTGAACTATACTAAGAAGTAATAAAATTGGCTTTTTCTTCTTCCTTTTCCTGCCTCTATTAAAAATAACAACCAGGACCTGGCGTGATAGTCTAGTGGCAGAATCCTCGCCTTGCAAGCACTGGGACACCATATGGGCACCAGGATTCCATATGGGTGCCAGTTCAAGTCCAAGCTGCTCCACTTCCCATCCAGCTCCCTGCTCCTGACCTAGGAAGACAGTCTAGGTTAGCACAAAGCCTTGGGACCATACCCCCACGTGGAAGACCCAGAGGAGGTTCCTGGCTCCTGGCTTTAGATCGGCACAGTTCCATCATTGCAGCCACTTGGGGACTGAATCAATGGATGGAAGATCTTTCTATATCTCCTTATCTCTGTACATCTGCCTTTTGAATAGAAAATATGTAAATAAAAGTAATAACCAGCGGCCAGCCCAAAGGCTTAATTGGCTAATCATTCTTCTAAAACAACCAGTATGACATATGGGTGCTAGTTAGTGTCTCAGCTGCTCCATTTCCCATCCAGCTCCCTGCTTGTGGTCTAGGAAAGCAGTAGAGGATGGCCCCCAAAGTTTTGGGAACCTGCATCCACAGAAGAAACCTAAAAGAAGCTCTTGGCTTTGGATCGGCTCAGCTCCAGTTGTTTAGCCATTTGGGGATTGAACCAGTGAATGGAAGATCTTTCTGTCTCTCCTTCTCTCTGCAATCTGCCTTTCCAATAAAATAAATCAATCTTAAAAAAATAATAATAACCAGCACTAGAATTATAACACTTGCTCCATTTCATACTTTCTCCTCCTCCATATCCTTCATTTATCCACTCATTTTCTTCTTTCCGTTCTTGTCTCAGAGTCCTGCAGACTTACATTTGTGGCTGACATCCAAATAGAAACACTAATCTCTTTGTGAAATGAGCATAGGGCTAAGAAGATGACACAGGGAAAAAGACTGCTTTTGGAACACAAGAGGATTTATCTTAAAATCAATTTTCCCCCCAACAGCTCTGGTGAACACAAAGACACTTGAAATTAGCAATATTGTTCTCTTTACATTATTTGCTCATTTCAGTAAAGGCAAATGAATGTATTATGACACATCAAACATGTATTTCAGTTGTTAGTATTTTGACAGAAAGCATTGCATTAAAATAGCACTTACCTTTCAGGCTAAAGTAATACACAAAAGGGATATGTCTGTATGGTAAATACAGTTGGGCCTTTTTTCCTGCTTCTTGAGAGAAAACATCAAGTATGAAATAATGCAGACATTACTGCACCAGTTTTATCCCTCTTTCCACAGTACAAAAAGAAACACACTGCTGTTACTATAATTACATCTTCCATGCTTTTTAAATAGTTTTAATGTCATTTAATAATCTATCCCATGTAGTGCCTCAAAATAACTTCACATTATTGAACGAAGCTTTATGCTTTTTTTGAGTCATGTTTTTAAAGACTTTCTTTCAACCTTTCAGCCTAATACAGGCTTCCTTTAATTTTTAACAAATATGATAAAGTCTTAAGTTGTGAGAAACAAAACTTTCAAAAGGATATTCCTCCAAAGGAACATAAAGAAGACATCTTGAATGTGCTGCTATTGTAACTTTGTATCCATGGGAGCTTATGGTCCCATACTAATTTTGTGCTGTAAAACTGGCTACAAGGAGCCTGAGAATTTGCTCCTGGTGATTGTTGACAACAAATAAAATGCTTATTCCTCTGGGCCAGAGCTGCGCACCAGCAGGTTAGGGTGCTGCTTGCAGCGCTGGCGCACTATATGGGCACCTGTGCAAGCCCTAGATGCTCCACTTCAGATCGATCAATTACCAGCTAACGTGTATGGGAAGGCAGCAGAGAAATGGCCCAAGTTCTTAGGCTCCTGCATGGCTGTGGGAGGCCCAGAAAAAGCCGTTCTAGCCACTTTATTCATAAAATAACTCTTCTCATAGTGGTTATTCTTTTGCTTGTGTATAATTTTTCCTTTCCATTATGTGAAATGTTACTTTCTCAGGACCATCTTTATGTTTCAATAAGACTCTTTCTTTTTAAATCACTTATAGCTATACTTTTATTCTCTGTGTCCTTGTTAGAAAGTTCATTGCTTTGTCCTAGAGTATCAAAAATGACCTCCATTACATGGACCACGATGACAGGAGAGGGGTAGGATAGTAGATGGATGCCCTTCTTGGGAGAGCAGTTCTAGACCTTGTTCACCAGGACACACACTCAGGGATGGTACCTGCTAGCATATGGCATGTAATTCCAACCCTTGTCTCCTCCACCACTCTTGTAGGCTGAATTACATTTCCCCAAAAGACACACAAAAATGTGTGTCTAATCTGGCGTTCTTATGATATGACCTTGGGAACCAGGGTTTCTGGAGATCCATCTGAGTAAGTCCCAGTGGAGTATGACAGGTTCTTAATTTTCTTGTCTTTAATTTCTTTTTTTTTTTTCTTTTGGTACAGTTTAGTTGGTGCTGGGGTCTCCCTTCCCCTTAGCCAAGTTCCCTCCCCTCCCTTCTGTTTTCTCCTCCAGTCTCACAATGGGTGTCTTTCACAAATTTTCCCAAGTCCATTATGTTGCCGCTGGACTGTCTCCCAACCATGTTCCTACATGTCAGTCATTTCATGAGTTCATTCTTGTATCCCAGGACCCTAATGAAGGTACAATGAGGACTAGATCTTTGTTATTTATGGGCAGTAGCAATAACAGTGATAAAAGGGACACTGACCATCTCAGGTAATTATAAACAATCAGTCTCTTATGGATGGTTGATTAATGAATTACATCACAAGATCTTATTACAAAAGGTACAGGTAAGTATGAAGTGACATAAGGTAAGATTCACATGTAATATCCCTAGATTTGACATCATATTATCTTATATTAGAGCAAACATATGATATTTGCAGGTCCTTAATTTAATGTGATTGGTAACCTCATAAATAGAGGATGGGAGTCAAAGAGAGAAGAGAATACCATGAAGAATGGGCACAAGGAGAGGCTACCATGTGAAGACAGAGGCACGGGGTCAAGCACTCAAGCTACATGCCAAGCAATGCCATGGTCTGCCAGCAGGCACCCAAAGCTAAGACAAAGCAAGTAAGGCCTGTCTCCTCTCTGGCTTTCTGAGGGACACTGTGATTCCAGAGGTTAGCCTCCAGGCCCGAGGAACAACACATTCCAGTTAATTTATAGCATCAGCTGCTGTTCTTTTGTTACTGCATCCTTGAAAACTGATGCAGATTCCCTGTGTGTACGTTTGGCAGGGAGGGGAATGTGCTTTGCTTCTTCATGACAAAATGATGAGCTGTCACTCCATCATGAGAATACATTATATAAGACTTTATCTTAGGCTCTTCCCCATGCCAGCAATGAAGAGGTGAGTTGCTGTGAGTCTTACAGTGACAAGGAGCTGAATTCCACCAACAAACACGTGAACCGGAGGTGGATCCTCCCCCAGCCAAGCCCTTCAAGCAAATGATTGACATCTTAACTGCAGCATTATAAGACAATTCTGACCCACAGCCAACAGTGAGATGATGGATGTGTGCTGTTTGAAGCTGCTAACAGCAAAGAAAACAGCACAGACCTGGAAAACACCGAAAGCTGACTTTCTGTGGATGTTTCTAAGCTTCCCTTGGCGGGTTTCTCGCAGTTTCCTTGGAATGGGCACCTGCATCTTCTTCATCGGGCAGTGGCTTGCAACTCCTTCCTTACCTTCTTAGCCATGCAGCATTTACCACTTGATTCTCATTGCCACATTTGTTTCTCAAGGGACTTAATGGCCAGAACCATGCTAAGCCCGTGCTGGCATCCTCCTCCAACAGACCCACATCTGATTATCAGAAAACACTCAAGGATGTCCACGCCAACCAGCTCAACCAGCAGGTAGTACCCAGCATCACAGCATTGGGGCTCAACCCATCCCTCTGCTTTGGATTTGCTATAATGGCAGGACCCCACAGCAAATGCATCCAGGGTCCTGCTGAAGTCCTCTTTTTCTCGGAAGATGGGTGGCAGTCAATGCAGGCAATATTTCTCTCTCAACCTATTAATCTTCTCTGAAGACTTTAAACTTGAATCATATTTTTAAAAAACTAATAATTCAAACAAATGTTATCTTTATATTATAAACAGAGATATGAGACAGCAGCCAAGGAATCAAAGGAAGTAACATAATGTAAAAACTTCAGGATGGATGCCACAATGCAAAAACATCCTGTTTAAATGCACAAAAAGTTCACTCCTTCACTTACAGAACAAATACTTATCAAGCACCTTCTAAGTGATAGAACCTGTTATATTTAAAGTTTTCAAATATTTGTTTTCATTTAGCCAGATGCCAAATAGCTAAATAAATATTATACACACACATAAGAAGACATCACATGGAGGTACATCATAGAAATGCTTGTAACTTCACAATTACCTGAAAAAGCATTGCTGTAATACCGAGACAGGGTCTGCATGATATCTTTTGAATGTTGTGTCCACGGTGCTATCTTTCTGTAGGTTTTGACACGATGAACAAGTTGAGACCCACCATACTGAAGGGACAGGGTGTCACCATGATCTTCATAGAGTTCTTCAAATAACCTAAGCAAAAAAAAAAACACATGATTGCACTTCTTGAAGATAACACCAACACAAAATGCATTGTTTTTCAACATGGTATTCCAGAAGCATCACAGGAACCTCTAAATTTGAAGTAGAGGCACCATAAACCTAACCCACCAAAGACGGATCAAACTGTTTCTACCCAGCTTTAAAAGATTTCATCAAAACAACAATAGCTTTTTCTTTTTTTTATATAAAACTGTTTTTAAGACCCTAAAATTTATCAGAAGCCACAAAACAACAGAATAGTCAGAGTGACCTTGCAAAAACAAATGAGAAAATAAACTTGGAGACCTCATAGTATCTGACTTCTAAGCATACTACAAAACTATAGTAATTAAAATAACAGCATAGTCATAAAAAATCAACACAAAGATCAATGGTATAGAATAGAGACCCCAGAATTTAATGCAAATATATACAGCCATCTAATTTTTGGCAAAGGTGCCAAGACCATCCATGATAGAAAGGACAATTTTTTAATAAATGGTGCTGGAAAAATTGGATACAAAAATGTAAAAAAATAGAAAGTGGATCCCAACCTTTTAATACATACAAAAATCTACCCAAAATTGATAAAAGCCTACACATGTGAACTGAAAATATGAAATTGCTAGATTAAAAAGCAGGGAAAGTACTTCAAGACATTAGTATAAACAATATTTAGGATAAGACCTCAAAAGCAGAGACAACACAAGTAAAACTAGATAAATGGAATTACATCAAACTCAGAAGCTTCTGCACAGCAAAGAAAACAATAAAATAAAGAGATATCCAACAGAATAGTAAAAATATTTCCAAGCTAGCTAATTAAGGATTAATATTTAGCCTATATAAGGAATTAAAACCCAAAAACAAAAAGATAACCAATCCAGTAGCAAAATGGGCAAAAGACTCAAACAGACAATTCTCAAACGAAGAAAAGCAAATGGTCAAGAAACACAATGAAAAACATGCTCATATGACTAGCCATCAGAGAAATTAAATCAAAACTATCATAAGATACCACTTTACTCCTGTTGTAATGGCTTTTATGTAAAACACAGAGAGTAAGAAATGCTGAAAAGGATATGGAAAAAGCACATCTAGGTTAGGAATGTAAATTAAGACAGCTCCCATGGAAAACAGGATAGATTTCTTAAAAAAACAAAATCCTAGAAATAGAGTTGCCATATTAATCCAGCAATCTCACTACTTGATGGGATGCTTTCATAACACAAGAAGTCACTGCATCCTGCCATGTTTATAGTAGCACTGTTCACAACAGCCAATACATGGACTCAACCCAGGTATCTAATATGAGATGAAAGAATAAAGAAAATATGGTACATATGTAAACAACTGAATACTATTCAGCCATTTAAAAAAAGAATGAAATCCTGTTATTAGCAACAAAATAGATAACAACTAGAAGACATCCTGTTAAATGAAATAAGCCAGACAAATACTGCATGCTCTCCTTTGTGGAAGCCAAAAAAAAAAAAAAAAAAAAAAAAAGACCAACCACAAAACTCAATCTGAACACAAAATGGTACTTACTAGAGGCTGGGAGAGTTGGCTAGGGGCTTGGTGGGGGGAATTTAGACAATGATACCAAATAACACTTAGGTTGGAGGAGTAAGTTCCATGGCATATTTGAGTGACCATGGCTCACAACAGTATATTATATAGTTAATGAGTAAATGGGAAAGGAGATCTCTATAGAGCAAGTAACATCAGGGAAACAGAAATGTGGATTGCCCTGATTTGATCTGTATGCAATATACATGCATTGAAATGCAGCACCATGGCCCATACATATGTATAATTATTGTCAACTTTTACACATTTTTAAATGAAAAATCTAAAATATAAAAAAGAAAAAATGAGACTTCTAAATTTCTGCATCCTGCCAGATCAATCCACCTCTCATGACAGAATGTTGTTCTCTCTGAAATGTCTTTGCAACAGGATGTGTCCCTCCCCAATGCTGGGCCTGAGTTGACTTAGGCTGCTTTTATAAAACATTATAAACTGGTATGGGGAGGGGTTGGGGAAATTCCAGAGCCTATGAAACTGTGTCACATAATGCAATGTAATTAACTAAAAAAAAATTTACAGACTGGGCAGCACACAAACCACACACTGCATTGCACACGGATCTGGAAGCATGAAGTCTAAGTCAGTCCCCCAGCAGATTCTGTCTCCCTCCCAGTTTGTAGATGGTAACTCTCGTGATATCTTTCCATGATGGAAGGGGCTGGCTAGTTCGCTGAGACTCTGCAATAAAAGGTAAAAGTTCTTCCCTCGAATTCAACCATTGTCCAAAGACCTCATTTCCAAGTATCATTATTTTAGGGCTCAGGATTTCAATGCAGGAATCTGCAGGAGACATAGTCATTCTGTCCACAGCAGATATCCATGGTCTTTCATAGAATAGGTAAGTGATTGAAACTTATATTTCTTCAACTGCCTACTGATATTTTCAATGCACTGTAATCCTTTGATCTGGCCCTTTGGAAGCTAGTAATTTCCCTCAGTTGAGATTTTATGAGAATTTCAGATGGTAAGTTGTCCAATATCACTGTGTTTTTAAGAAAGAGTAAATCACAGATTTTCACAGATCCAAGGGATAATGAATATCACTAAGAAGGAACAAACATCTTTGGGGCCAGCACCACCTGGGCGTGCTGACATCCCATACAGGTGCCAGTTTGTGTCCTGGATGGACCACTTCCCATTCAGCTCCCTTGCTTAGCCAAAAGAATTTCCTGGCTCCCAGCTTCAGATCAGTTCAGCTCTGGCCGTTGTGGTCATTTAGAGAATGAACTACTGGATGGAAAAATCTTTCCCTCTCTGTCTCTCCTACTGACATCTGCCATTCAAATAAAAAATCTTTTTGTTTCAAAAAAATGAATTTATTCTATTTTAAAAACTGTAATATAGTTCATAATTTCTTGTTCAAAATGTGTGAAGATACTTGCTTCAAATGCTATCTGGATTAAAAAAAAACAATTACTACTTTGTCTAAGTACACTGGATTAATCTTTAAAAACACATAATATTTTTTGATAATGAACACAAGCAAACAAACCAAAAAGAAAACAGGTCAATAACACAAATGTTAGTAGAAATACTCCAGAATTAATTTGAATCATGTCTCCTAGCAACATAACTTTTAAGACACCGAAAGGAGAAAGGGGCTCATAAAAATCATTATTATTGATCAGGTTTGCTTCCTGTCCTTACCAGCATTGAAGTGGTGAGGCTTACCTCACTGCATCTGTATCAAACTGTAGGTTAGGTTTGTCGATCAATCCCAAGGAATAGAGCTGGTAGGCCAGAGCACATTTGCCCACCATGAACTGGGCTGTGTTGGTACGGTCCAAGCAGTCCACACAGTTGGTTCGGAGAATGCCAGTCTAAAGGAAAACAGCCAGAGTCAGTCATGATTCAGCCATCAGACTACCTCCACATCACTTTAGACAGCGTAGAAGCAGAAGAAAGGTTATGGGCAAAGGTTATTCCTGAACAAATATCAATCCCTTACTTTTATGCAAGCTTAAATATCAGCATCATGAAAAGCACTTTTTAAATTGTGTAAGTTATCTGTTTCTCGCTTACTACTGCTTCAATGGCACCAATAAGCCTGGTTTATATTTGAATTGATTTCTTTAGTTTAACAAGATATAAACAGCTAATAAGTGCAGATGTGCCAATTAGTAAAACTGTTTTTTTTTTCTTCTATTGCTCCTTCATCAGATTAACGGATCATTCAATGGGTAAAGCAACATCATCTGTGAAGCATAATTAATATATTGAATATACGTACCTGGATTGTTTTCCAAAGTTAGTCTAATTTATTCTTTCTACTTTCCCATTTGTACTTACATATCCAATAACAAAATTTAATATACAGAAAACAATCCATAGTCTATTTTATTTCAGCTCTATGTCCTTCTGTAAAAGTTAATCCCTAATAAACAGTAAGACTTTAAAAAATAATTCTGGGTCTGGCATAATAGCCTAGTGGCTAAAGTCTTTGCTTTGCATGGACCAGGGATCCCATAAGGGCATCAGTTCGTGTCCCGGCTATTCCACTTCCCTTCCAGCTCCCTGCTTCTGGCCTGGGAAAACAGTGGAGGACGGCCCAAAGCCTTGGGACCCTGCATGTGTGTGGGAGACCTGAAAGAAGTTCCTGGCTCCTGGCTTTGGATCGGCTCAGCTTCAGCCATTGCAGCCAGTTGGGGAGTGAACAGAAGATCTTTGTCTTTCCTTCTCTCTATAAATCTGACTTTCCAATAAAATTAAAAAAAAAAACTTTAAGTTAAAAAATAATTCTGAGGGTGAGTGTTCATGTTCAGTGGGTTAAGCCGCCTCCGTGATACCTGTACTCTCACACATCAGAATGCCTGCTTTGAGTCCCATCAGCTTCGTTTCTGATCGAGCTTCCTGCTAATGCACCTAAGAAGACAGCAGATTATAGTCTAAGTACCCGAGTCCCTGCCACCCATTGGGAAACCTGGATGGGTTTGGCCTGGCCTAGTCATGGCTATTGCAAACATTTGGAGAGTGAATCAGCAGATAAATTCTCACTCATTCTCTCTCCCTCTCTGTTTCTCTTTGCCTTTAAATAATTAATTTTAATAATGAAATAAAAATCATTCTCAAATAATTAAGAAGTATGCATTAAATAAGATGTACCTGTACTTACTTCTGCAGATAATACATACTATAGGTACAGATTTTACTCATTATGAACATCAAGTTGTCTATACCTGTAGGCGACCCGTGGGAATCACACATCCGCCCAATTCATTCCACCTAGGTTTAAAAACATTTTTTTTTAATTAATGGCATATACATATTGACTTCTGATACAGTTTTTGTTAAGTATTGCAGAGTCAAAGTAATAGAGCTGAAGGTGCCTGAAAAATCAGTTGATTCTGTGTAATATCATTCTTTCAGGGAAATGAACATGAGTGAATACGCATTAATTGAAATGGACAGCTTGCCATGTCCTCCTCCAAGAGATTAAACAAGAAAAGGGCATCCTAACTCGCTCCAGTCCATGCACACTGGCCCTTTATCACCTATGTTCAACCAAAACATTCCTTGCTTTCATTTAAACCTGGTCTCTACAGATATGAACAATAATTATGGGCATCCTTCCAAAAAATCTTCCATGCCTTAGCCTTTTCCACTCAACATCTGGATTCTCTCTCTTCTGCAGCTTTTCTTCATGGTAGCTGTCCTGCATTCTTTCAGTTGCTTTGGCAGATTCCCTTTTAGAGGCTACTTGCTTTCTGTTTGCTAATAATGAATCGGCTTTTGCTAGAAAACATTCCATCATGATGTTATGTTTTGATGAATAATTCAAGGGAAAAGGCTGTGTAGAAAAGACTTAATATGACTGCCCTGCCTGTGCCTTTAGAAATGTCTACTTACAAGCTTGGCTCTCGGTTGGGATCTGAAGACTGGGGTTTCACCAAGTTCCTACCACTCCTAGAGTGGAAAAGACCAGGGGCTGGTGTGGTGGTATAGCTCACTAAGTCTCTGTCTGCACAGCACCTGCACGCCACTTGGAGCCAGTCCATGTCCCAGTTGCTCCATGTCCTATCCGGCTCCCTGCTTATGGTATGGGAAAGCTGGCTCAAGTCCTCGGGCCCCTGCATCCACATGCGAGACCAAGAAGAAGCCACTGACTTGCATGTGCTCAACAGACTAATCCCAGACATTACAGCCGTCTGGGGAAAGACCCAGCGGATGAAAAAATCTGTCTCTCCTTCCCTCTCTGAAACCTTGCCATTCCAATAAAAATAAATGCCTCTTTAAAAAAAATAAATAAGACTGGCTAATGGGCCCAAACCATCAGTGGAAACAATATGGCTTTTCCTATCATTTTTAATTTTGATAGGTGCTAGGCAGAGGCTAAATCTGTGTGCTCAGCCTCCTGTAAAAAGCTTCAAGACTAAAAGTTGCTTCTCTGGGAAGCAATATCTCACATGGTACTGTCAGATTTGTCTTTGGAGAAGACTCTAGAAGCTTGTATCTGGATTTCTCTAGACTTCTATCATTTTGCTAATCTCACTTTGCACCTTTTTATCAGGATAAATCCTGGCCACACAATAGTGTGTTGAAATATAGTGAGCTCTCCCAGTCAATCAATGAACCTGATGGCGGTCTTGGCACTTACAGGCACCCTAAAATTCATAACACAACAAAAGCAAACAATGCCTACTTTAACAAAAGAAAAACACTTCCAGAGATATACACACCAGTACTTGCTTGGCTTTTGTTTGTTTGTTTGCTTTTTGCTGCTTTTCCATTGTATACATTGGAATACATTGTATACATTGGAATTCCATTGTATACATTGTATGCTATGCTATACTGAAAATGTTGGAAATACATGATATTGGCTCATTAAAAGATACATAATACATGCATCCTTGATCTGAGCAGGTTGACAAAATGGTCATGAAGAAAGATTTGTGAGCATAGAAGTACAGTAATACAATGGCAGGATTTTTCATAAAATGTATTTATAAAATGCTGCCCCTAATTAAGAATACCAAAAATGGAATTCACTATAGAAATCTTACATTACATAAACATCTTATGTAATATCTGTTCCATAAAGCAAGACATAAAGACCCCATGAGGGCAGGAATTTGGACTCGTATGGAAGATGGCTGTTATGCAGGACGTGGGTGGGGTTAGGGATAACTGGGACCAGCATTATAAAAGAGCAGGGTAACCTGCCACTTGAGACAGAGGACCAGTTTCAGTCCTAGCTACTCTGCTTCCCACCAGCTCCCTGCTAATGAACCTGGAACAGCAGCAGAGGATGATGGTTCAAGTACGTAGGTCCCTGCCACCTAGGTGGGAGACCTGAAAGGGATTTCTGGCTCCTTGCTTCAAGCTGACCCAACCCTAGCCTTTGAGGCGAGTTGAGGAGTGAATCAGTGAGTAGACCATCTGTCTCTTTCCCTTTCTCTGTTATTCTTTTAAAACAAACAAATCTTTCTTTTTGGGTGCCAACTAAGAATCCTGCTTCCTACATCAGAGTTGGATTCGTGGCTTCAGCTCCTGACTCCAGCTTCCTGTGACTGCACATCTGGGAAGCAGCAGGTAATGTTCCTGACACCTTGTGAGTGACTTGGATTGAGTTTCTAACTTTGGTTCTGGCCACTGGCTTGGCAGGCACTGGGGACTGAAACAGAGGATGAAAGCATTCTCTCTCTCAGCAGGTGGGATCTCTTTTCCCTTCCTCCCTCACATTCTCCCTCTCTCTTTCTCCTTTCCTCCATCTAAAATACATACCTTAAAAAAAATTTTTTTCTCAATCCTGTAGTTTCTCTCTCCATATATATAAAACCACCAAAGGCATTGTCATGCCCATGGTGAACACCAATTAGCCAGTTGCAGAAGCAGCTTGCTCTTGGCAAATAATACAAACTATTCACATTTAGCGTCTTTATTCATGAGAACAAAAATCTTGACTTTCTTTAGAGTTATAAATACCATACTTACTTCTCATCAGGCCTCAAAATGCTGCAGTAAGAATCGGGTCGGTTGACAAAGAAACCCGTTTTCTTCACCACACTTTCTGCAATCACATTGAGTCGATCGAGAACATTGCATAGCTTGCTGAGGAGAGAAGCAAGAATGAGAAGGGAGCAAAGAACCCAAGTGTTGGCACGTGTCTCTCCCTACATCCACACATGTAAAGTCCCTAGCAGGAACATGCAGGGAATTCCTTTTATAAAACTCTTGGTTTGTATTTCATGGGAATATTCTAATAGTTAGTGTTCAGGCTACAATGCGGACTCCATAACTAATAAGATTTAATGCAAAAGAGACAGGAAGGAACTGGAATTATATTTTGAATACTGACAGTCCTTCATCTTGGCATGGGATAGCCTTCTAGGACTTTTTCTAAACCTTTCCACTCCCCAGGAGTTGGAGTGAAGTCGATAAACATTCACAAAATGAAAGGTGTGAAACAAATAATTATGAACAGCAGTGGCCATAAACCTAGCTACCTTATGAGAAAGTATGTGCCCATGGCCAAGTACATAAAAGGATAAGGAGAAGTCCCAGGGAGATAAGTACAAAATTATATAGCAGTATTTTAAAAAAATAAGACCTTAAAATAAACCAAATGCTTAGACAATGCATAGAGAATCAGTAAATGAAAAAAAAATAAAGATAGTGTGAGGTCTGATGATAGAAGTCTCTTAGAAAGGATGAGTTCTGAATCAGGGGGAAGACACCTCAGCCAGCAGCAACCAATAAGAACCCAGGCCCAGGGATGGGACTTGGGCTGCTCCACCTAGGGTCCATCATGAAAATTGGGTTTTCTGGAACAGAACAACCTGAGCAACAAACAACCTCACATCACCGCTTTGTGGAGCAAACCAAGTGATGAGGCTTTAACGTCACAATAAAAAGTTGAGATTTACTGTGAACGATCATGAGTTATTTTAAGGTCTTCCATGAGAAGGGGAATCTAAAAGTGGTGTCTGATGAAAATGTTTCAACAGTGAGATAGGATAGAATGGAAACAGGGACTCCAACGCCTTTATGGACCAACAGCAAGAGGTGTTCTAGACTGACCAGTGAAGTCAAACACGAAGTCACAAAAGGGATAAACAGGAGGCAAGAGGAGAGTCTGGTTGACTCAAGTACGTGTGCGACCTGAGATAGCTCCTCCACAGCTCCAGGAAGGAAGTTAAACCAGTAATGCTTCATGGCAGAAATCAGCTTCCTGCTGGTGTCCTGGGACAAGAAAAGGAGAAATATCACAACCAAACAGGTGGGTATCATTTACCTTTTGGTGTACTTGGCCATATCCCAAGGAATATAAACAATGGTGTGCTCGGGAGGCAGGAACTGGTTCAGGTAGGTCACAGCAGCGACCAGTTCTTCACTCAGAATCCGTTCATGCTTTCTTTTCTCTCGTTCCTTTATCAAAAAGCAAATGTTCTGGAATTTTAGCTACCACAGATTAAGAGGAACAGCCTTTTAACAGTTTTCCTTTTTCAGCTAACGTGAGACACAACAACCATGTCAAATACACTGAAATGAGACGTAGTGACAACATTCAAATCAATGCAAATAAGTCAGAGTTTCCTGTTATTTCATGTCCTAAATGCCTGCAACAGCAGATGCTGGGTCAAGGTCACAGCCAGGAGCCAGGAACTCCACCTGCATCTCCCACACAGGTGGCAGGAACTCAAGCAGCCAAGCCATCAACCACTGGCTTTCCATGTACATCAGCAGGAAGCCAAGAAAGAAGCAGAGGTGCTGAGATCTGAACCCAGGTGCTCTGCTGTGGGAAATGTGCACCCCCACAGGCAGCTTGACCTCTGCACCACACACACAAATTAACATCTCTGAAGCTACCGAAAGTAACCGTGGTGCAGTGGATGCCCCTTCCTCGTGCCATACAGACAAGTCAAAGCTATCAGAAGGGATGAGCATGCACACATACACACACACCCCTCTGCATGCTGTTCTCTCCGAGTGTAATACTGTTCGCCATCCTCTGAATCAAGGCAATGCCTCTTCATGCTGGTTCATCTGCCTGACTTTACCAGCCTTTCTCTCTCTTACTCTGAGGGCAGGTGCTGTTTCTATACACATGGCACTTCTTAAATGGCTGATTGAGTGGGTATTTGCTAGTTTGTCTTTTTATCATATTTATTAAGCAAACTCTCAGATACTATTAGGTTCCTAGCCACTGCCAGGTTCATAATAAAATCTTTGTTTTTCACATTCTCAGTGTTTTCTTTGCTGCTGAGATTCTTACAGTCGCTTGGTTGCAATAAAGGCAGATAAAATTGTGCGGACTCCATCCTAAGCCTATAGATGGATGCCACATGAGTTGTTTACCAGTCAATGTATTCTTATAAAGAAACAAAGACCAATGTCCCCATGGTGTCTGGGTTTCTTAATGCTACCTCAGTTTTTGAGTGACAATAGCACCCTGACTTCTGTATCCTGCCCTTTGATCCTGTCACTATGTATTTATTTGTCCAGGAATTCTTATGACTTTTCAGAGAAGCCAGAAGTGGCCTCAGGCTTTCTTCTCACTGGACACTAATATATAAATTTCACCCACACCTAATTCATACATAACACTAGGAAGCCTGATACTCATTTGCTTGCTTTGGGAACATACAACTGAATACTCAGGTCCACTGGGCAGAGGTCAAGGACAACCTCAGGACAAATGGCCACAGTCCAGACACCTGGGGCACAAGGAGTCATCATGGAACAATAACCTGCAACCTCTCCTCTGGAGAGCAGTGAGGGCCAGATCCTGACCTTCCCTGTGCTGAGGAAACATGTGCTTGGCTCCCATAAGCAAGCAGGAGAATCCACCATACCTTCACTAAATTCAAGATGATGATGGGCGAGCCAAACCGCTGAAGCATCTGGTCAAAGTGAAGGGCAGCCACATGTGCAAAAGGATCTGCCTGATCCACTGTGGAGGGAGAAAGACGAAAATCACCTGAATGACATGCCCAAGATGTTTAAAGGAACACAATTCAACTCTTCTAACAACTTCACTTCCCAAAACCCTCTTGAGGTGCGCACAGCGCACTCATTCATCATACATTTATTAAACTGACACGACGCTCTCCTTACTGAAGAGAAATACACATAATTAGCTAGCAGTCAAAAATCAAACACACATTGATTGCATAAAAATAAATTATCTACTTTTTGGGACTAAATCTTGTTGAAACTTAAGGATTTATGAGATTTTTATGACAACAGTTCTTTATTTCTAAATGTAAGCATTGGAAAAAAAACAAAAAAAATTTTTAAAATGTTGTTGCACATACATGTGATGGGCGGTTTAGGCATCATAGTGGATATGTCCTGAGACCAGTACAAGGGAACTGATCCTCTAACTTGCACATAAGAAGAGTAGCTTCCAGCAGTAAAAGACATCACAGAAGCATCACAGACTATTTGTTCTGTCTCTACCTCATTTGCAACATCACCCTGGGAAGAAAAGAACATTTAAAGAGAGTTTATGCTCTTAAGATTTTTTAATGGAAAAAAAATTCAAGTATACTATGAAACTATCATTCCTACTCATCAAAGATCTTCAAATAGGTACATGTTGTCAATTTCAATGTGTATATTAGAAAAGCAAAACCATTTAAAAGCAAGACAGGAGAGCAATTAAAAGTAGCAGCAAATACACTGGCAGGGGGAGAGGGATCAAATTAAGTAGCGAATAATGCAAGTAGAAAACCAAAGACAGCTTGACTGGCATAAATGCTTGGGAATGAGAAAAACGAAAAACAATTTCATGAATCAAACAAAAGGAGAGGAAAACCAGACTATCAGAATTCAATTCTTGAAAGCCAAAAACAGATGAAAGAACAAAATAGTAAGATTTAAAACATGCCTAATGCACAGAAGCACAGAGAAAGGATTTTCAGGCAATTTGTTTATATATGGATATGACCAAGAATAATGCTGGGTGCATTAATAATGCTGGGTCTGACTATCCTTTGAATAGTCAATTAGGAGCAAACATTCTGACTTTTCTTAAGGTACCAGTGAAAATAATTTACATTGCTAGTATAATTTTACACACAATATTGTTATTTTGAACCAGGGTCAACATCCAATGCCTCATTCAATCTGTCTACTCAATCACACATCTGCTCAAGACTCCAGTTGTCAACCACAAATAGAGATAGCGTACCCAGAGCAGATGACATGGCTGATGGTTACATGGTGAATTTTAAAGCTTGTTTTCTGTGGTGAACAGCAAAAACAATCTAGACAGTGAAGGGCAGAGGGCAAAGGTTATCCCCTTGATTTACTCTATGCTTTCATCAGGAATGTCTTTCAAGGTCAGTGCAATGGCATAGCAGGCTGATCCTTTGCCTAAAGCACTGGCATCCCATATGAGAGCCAGTTAGAGCCCTGGCTGCTCCACTTCTGATCCAGCTCCCTGCTGATGTACTGGGAGAGCAGTGGAATGCCTAAGGCCTTGGGCCCCTAAACCTATGTGGGAGACCTGCTGGAGGTTCCTGGCCCCCAGTTTCGGACTGGTCCAGCTCTGGCCATTGTGGACACTTGAGCTTCTTAATGTCAATGGATGGAGGCTCTCTCTGTCTTTCCTTCTCTCACTGTATTTCTGACTTTCAAGTAAATAAATTTGAAAAAAAAAAAAACTCTTCCATGAACAAACACAAAATCACTGTCTTTTACTTCACTCCTTGGGTGAAGGTAATCTGTTGTTTTATCTCTACGTTAAACATGCATTTTTCTCTATATAACAAAAATTGCTCATCTTAAAAAGACATTACGCATTTCTAAATGCCCTAAAACACCGTATAACTCCAGGAAAGCTGACTTCTTGGAACATCTGTAAATGAGTCATATTTTTCACAAGTTTGATACTCTGGAAAATTATTCTTAATACTATCCCAAACTGAGAAATTCTGCTTTTTAAAATTGCCCATTGCCTTAGCTATGAGACAAACTGATGTAAAAAGTTAATATCAACAGCAATTCTGTTTGTCATCTTACCTCACAGTTTGCACCTCTCTTGAGAAAGCGGGTTCCAGCAAACTTGCTAGATCTTCTAGCTATTAGAGTGACATACACTGGTCGCCCATAGATCAACAGTTCTTAGAAATCAAGTTAAAGTTGTTTACCATTTGTGGTTGTCACTAAGACTAAGAGAATTGGTATTCGTTAAGTGCACACCTACATAAATCTCATCCAATGGCCTAAAGAATATTGAAAGTGCCACCAAAGAATGGAAGAGAAATAATAGAATCATTATAGGTCTAATCTTCACTATCATGCAGATCAGAAGGCCTTACCTAAAGAAAGGCTTCATAGAATTTCAGATGAAAACAATAAGCAAGTGTCAAGTTACTAGCCAGGGGAAGATCTGCCCTTTCCCTGCAGCCAGGCATCAGATGTGAACAAGTACACTTAATCCTCCTCTAGTCTTTAGAGAGCACAGGCCTCTCAGAGAACAGGTGCCACCTCATGGGATGTATACATTATGCAGCAGCATGTAATACTGAGGGACTAGAATGAGCATAACACCGTGTAAGCAATCAAAAACCTAAACCCTGAATAAATCCACGTCAACTGCTTGACCCACATACAACTTTTTTTAGGTCATCTTATTTAACTCTCTGAGCCCAAATCTCACCTCCTGCAAAACAGAGTAAGAAATAATGGAGTCATTATAAGTTGGGCTTCTCTATTGTGAAATGTGCTCTAAAAATCCAAAACATTTGAGAATCAACATGATCCTGCAGAGGAAAAGGCTACACTTGACCATGTGATGGGCACAACCAAAATGCAGGATAACTAGAAATATCATATAAAATTACCTTCAGATAATATGGATCATATGGTGTATATAATACATAAATGAATTTCATTTTCATATTTGGTCCCATCCTCAAAATATCTCATTATTTATATTCAAATAATCCACCCCCCAAAAAAATTGAAATCTGAAACATTGACGATCCCAAACATTTCAGGCAAAGGATACTCAACCTGTACTTTTCCTAGGTGGTCAGGAAGACTGGATAAAGTAGTGTGATAAAATGTTCAACGTTCAATAAATAGCAATTACTGTCATCATACAGATTCCAAAATTTATTAAATGTGTGATAACCAGGGAACTAGATGCATCATTTAAAATAATGGTCTTTGAAATTATAATCTGTAATGATGTTCACTATTTTAAATTACAAGAATTTATTTTGCTTAATATATGCCAGGATCTGAGCTGGCTATTGGAAACATAAAACAATCTAGAACTACTTTTTAGGAACAGCCTCCAGACTCTAGCATATTCTTATGGGTATTCTTGGTGAAAATATTTTGTTCTTCCCAGGTAGATTTAATTTTGGAAACAGACAAAAATCATTCAAGGCCCAATCCTGTTATGCAGTGAATGACAAAGCAGATAACATTGGTTGAGATGGGTAGTTTGGTCCAGTGGTTAAGACATTACTCACTGATTGAAAATGATTATGAAGCAATAAGCCTAATGTTTAAGTAGAGCATAAAAATCTCACTCTCCCTCTTTTCAAAACTTCTGTGTCTTCATCTAGACTCTCTTGCCTCACAATTGCCACAAAATAGACAGCTCCTGTATCCACACTGGAGACCTACGAGAAGCTCGTGGCTCCTGGCTTTGGAGCAGGTCAGCTCTGGACAATGTGACCATTTGGGGAGTGTAACAGAGGATGGAAGGTTTCTCCTTGTGTCTCCTGTCTTTGTAAATCTGCCTTTCACATAAAAATAAATAAATCTATGATACAAGGAAGAATATTAACCAGAAATCTCCACTGTGGGACAGTAAATGCTACCACCCTACATCCTATGACACACCTGCATCTGACTGGTTTCAATGTAGCTGGAAATTAAATGAACCTGTGGAAGGAAAAAATAAGTGTTTCTCAAACTGAACTCAACATCTTAACCCAAGGCTCTACCTCCATCTCTCTGATCTACCATACTGCCTTCCAATCTGGACTCATTCCTCTTGAATAACTGCAAGTGCCTCCTTACTTGTGTCCCTTGTTCCAGCCTCATTTTAAGCACTGCAGCTTGAAAACAGCTGCCAGCTGAGAGCTTCCTGAATACTACTTTGCAACTGACACTTTCATTCACAAAGAATGTTCCAAAGACCTAGCACGGAATCCAAGATCCACACTTAGCCTGACCACCAAGGCAGTCTGGTTACCACCAATGTCCTTCTCACTGTATAACCTTACCTCCTGGGAGATGGATACACAAGCCACAAGATCACTGACAAGTACAAGTAGTTTTCTACCTCTAAACATTCAATACAGAAAACCCAGGACTGATCGACAACCCCCTCCTACACATACACACACACACACACACACACCACCCCCATCCTCACCATTACCACCTCCGCAGTAAAGATCCCAATTCTGCAGCGTACCCGGGCTAAGTCCTCCAAGACCTGCTTCCTCCACACCTGTAGGTCATTTTGCTCCTTCTCCCAGGTTAACACAATCCTTGCTTATCGATATCACTCACAGTGCACTTAGCACTGTCTTCTTATTAGTCTTTCTCTGCACATAAAATGTCTTCTGCTCAAATACTCTGCCTTCCTCTTTGTATTTCTATTGCATGGCATCCTTACTAAGTTTTCCTAGTGGGAGGCCCACAGGGATCATTATAACCTCATGATTTGTTTGTAGCTTTCTACAAACTAGTACAGCACAAGTTTAATAATAAGTATTTTAAGTTATACAAAAAGGATACTTGACTGGCCGCAGAACCCATGAATAATGTACAAGAGCCAGTCACGATGAACGGTGTTTTTAATTATATCCAGGAGTTCACCATTCCACACATACTTCATATAAGGTTCACTACAGATCCCAAATACACCTGAAAAATAAAGTATCATAAAAAGAAAGAAACTGGTTAGCATTCAACTAATTTGCAAGTTCTTAGACCTCTGTTTTTTGACTTCAAAATAAGATGCCTCAGGAATCTTACTGCAGGTAACTCAGTGTATGTCACTCAATCCACCTCAGGAACACTGTGCTAATTTCATAACCACATTAGACACATGTTTTCTAATGTGTGAGTTTTCAGTTGACAAGAAGAGGAAGCGACAGGGAAATGAAGGACATGAGTACAAATACACCAACAAAGCCAAGAGACAGCAGAGAGTAGCAGCTGAGAGAACAGGGTTGTAGAATTGGAGGGCCTGGTTCATGCTCTTGCTCTGCCTCAAGTACAGGAACCCATGTGATCAGGAGTGTTCCCCTGTCTCCTCACCCATGCCCATACTGTTCTAAGCACTGGGTGCCTAGGACAAGCCCAACGTGTACGTGCTCGCATAAGTGGTGGCCATTCCTATATTAGGCTTTTCTATTTAATAAAAAAAAAAAACTTCATTTCATAATGTGATTTCAGCACATGCAAATAAACAATAAACATACATCAATTTTTCTACATGCATAGGAAGTAGAAAATAAGAAATAAGCATATCTATATGATTAGGATTAAAAGACTCGAAAAGTTCTATCAACCAACACCATTTTTCGTTTTTTTTTTTTTCCCTCAAAACTGATCTGTGAAGAGTGTTTATGCTGAATGCACTTTGATTTGTAAAAACTGAACTGAACTTTCTCTGATCTGTCAATGTATTACACAACGTACCACACAAGAGAATCAAAACACAGGTGTTGAACAGGTGTCTGAACAAATCCATGTGATCTGGATGATCATGAGTAGGAAGGATGCATGCTGGCTTTGGCCATGGGTCAAATAACCAATCAAGTAGTAACTTCCAAGAGTCAAGGGCAAGGCCAAGGATGAGATTCAGTCTTCTTGGAGAGGACCAGAATCTCTGACAAAGTACCAGGACAGACACAGCCTCTTACGGAGTAAACTGAAAGGACAAACATTCTGGGGCCACTTTAGTTTGGATTCTACCTCTGTACCCGTATCTTCATCACTGCCATTTAAATTTCCTGGAGCAAGGAGCATGAAAATACTACTAATCGAGCAGAGAACTCTGGCTTATCAAGAGCACTCTGACTTATTAGGTTAAGTCACTTCCTACAGTGCTGGCATCCTGTGTGGGAGCTGCCAGCTCATGTCCTGGCCGATCCACCCCTGATTGAGCTCCCTGCTAGTGCACCTGGGAAAGCAGCAGAACCCGATAATTCTGCCTTTCAAATAAGCAAATTAAAAAATTTATTTTTAGAAAAAGATACTATTGTCTAACTAGGTTTATACAATCCAATTCAGCAAAATTCCCTTAACTTAAGCTTGAAATTATTTCTTCACATCACTGATAATCCAGACCACCTCAAGGATCTGGTGACCAAACCACTGATGGAGGACAAAAGCACCTGTTCATCTAGTGTCGGCCAAGGTCTCCAGGGCAGCTGCTGGTCCTACAGAGATTCTATATGGTCCAGCCGGAGGCAGAACCTAAGAGACACTGATGAGTCAAGCTGGGACCTACAGAAGTAGCAAAAACCTCGGACCTACCACACTGTCTTCCCTGCACATTGGCCAAGGTAACTTCATCTCTAGGTGTCAATTTCCTAACCAAGCTTTCTTTCTAACAAGGCTTTTAGGAAGACTATAGAGAGATTTAAGTGTGAATGTCTAGCAAATAATAGGTAGCCCACAGTAACCTCCCTAAAACTTGGGCCATGCTGATTGAGTCCCTTTAATGAAAGAGAACTAGGTGATGTATCTTTTCCAACATCCAAAAACATAACAAAGCAAACAAACACGAAGACAATTCTCCATTTAAACTTCCCCAAAAGTCTAGACCTGAATGCATTCCTCACAAAAAGGACATGAATACTTGCTACAAAATCTCAGCATATAATTTTCTAGCTGGCCTACAAATGAAATCACACGGTGACTAATGATCTCTGTAAAAAATAAATTGGTCAAGTTCACATATCCAAAACAGCCCCATGGAAGGATGCAGAAATATGACAAAAATGTGAGTGAACTGAGTGAGATACCATCTCTGGCAGGCCACAGCAACACAGAATAAACACAATGAAAACCACCTACCGCTTCCACCCTGTGTGATTAACCCTTCATCTTCAAAGATGTCAAAACTCTCCTGGCGAGTCTGGGTTGTTTCTGATTTTAACATCTCCAGGGGCATCCGCAAGACAGTGAGATTATACTGAAGTGAGTGGGATAAATCGTAGCTGTAACTGAGAACAGAATTGAAATTTAAGAATTAAAAGAGAAAACCTACTTCACAGTCTTAGCTCCCATATGGAATAAAACCTGTGAACTAAATTATTTAGGCACCTGTTACTTTACAGAGATGTACTGCTGTTCAAATGAGCACCATAAGACATAGCAGAATATGAACATAATTGAAAATTTAAAATTCATTTGATGACTTAGATATCTGCATATTACAATATATATAAAACACAAAACGGTTAACCTACATTGATTTTTTTTTTTTTTTTTTTTTTGCTTCGCAGAGATATAAGCTCATGGTGCTGTACAAGGGAGTTAACTTTCAGGTATATATGAATGAGGTTTGCTAGATGATTCAACACCCACTGTAACTGAGTGTGCTTCTGTACCCTAGCTTACTGAGGAACAAAAATAACTGTATTAATTATTAATGGTTGTATTTCGAGTAAATGTAATAACATAGGAATAGGCAATTAGCATAGGCCATTGCAGTGAAACATGTCTTAGGACCATAACTGCCCTTCCAAATACTCTAATAATCTCTGTATAGATAAGATTATTTTAGGCCAAAAGAAACCTGTTATGATTCTGCTATCACAACATTAATCATCCTACAAGTACTTCTAGCTATAAATTTTTTGGTAGAGAATTTCAGAAAGTACATTTTAGATTTATGCAAATTTTTATTTTAAATATCTGAGTCTTTTTTTAAATGATTACAAATTAATCTGAAAGGTAATATGTAAATTATTATTCCTTACTTATATAATTCTATTAAAATTGATTTCTATGTCATCTGTAAAATTTAATATTAACACATTTGCTGGGTGGATCAGCTCATTTTGATAGCATCTAATCTCAAAGGAATGAAAACTGTATTATGAAGTTTGAGTCTGACTTTTAGCAATCAATTCTTCCAGTTTATTTTTTTTTTTAATTGGAAAGGCAGATATACAGAGAGGAGGAGACAAAGAGAAAAAGATCTAAAGATCTTCTATCCACTGATTTATCCCTAAGTGGCTGCAGTGACTAGAGCTGCACCAATCTGAAGCCAGGAGTCAGGAGTTTCCTCTGGGTCTCCCACGCGGGTGCAGGGTCTCAAGGCTTTGGGCCATCTTCAACTGCTTTCCCAGGCCACAAGCAGGGAGCTGGATGAGAAGCAGAGCTGCCAGGATTAGAACTGGTGCCCATATGGGATCCCAGCATGTGCAAGGCCAGGACTTTAGCCACTAGGCTACCATGCCAGGCCCAATTCTTTCTGTTTAAAATAACGGCTTTGTTCTAGTTGAGTCCTAACAAATTAGAAAAACCTTTTAATATCCTGCTCATAAGACCCAAAAAGTTTAACCTACATAGTTTTGCTTATGGGATAATGTGATTAGAGTACTCAGTGGAGGAACAGAACTAACGGAGACACACAAGGTAGAGACAATCCATGGGCACTGCAAACACAAAACGAAGCTTTCTGCAGGGCAGACATCAGGGACCAGCACAATGAAAGCATGCCAGGAAGCCATCAGGGGAGAGCAAAGCCTTCCTCTACAGGCTCGTTACTACAATTCAAAGAACTTGAGTTTCACCTCAGTGACAACACGCTACACCCTGTAGAACAGACATGTTTTCCTTTATCTCATTAAGAAATGTCAACTACATGAACAAAAGTGCAAAGTATCCTGTCAGTCTGCAACACTCGTAGCTGCAGTTGCTCAGGGTCTTCTTTCAGCCCTTTGTGACTCAAGTTCTTCCTGCTGCATGTTACCATCTGCTCTATTCCTTCGGTTAGGTATGCTAGGTGACAGAATTTTCCATCTAGTGCAATCACTGCATCCACCAGACCTACATATCAGTCATTTCAACGCAGGTGTAATACTTCATCATAACAATCTTGGCTTATTTGCTTTTTCTTCAATTACCAATATTTGATTTCCTCCTGGATTGGTTGGTGTTCTTACCTGAGCTATCTCTGATAGGGACGGCACAAATATCTCTTTACTAGCTGATTCGTATTTTCCCTCCTGATTAATTTTTAGGACATACTGTCACAGGAGCTTAATGCTACATTCCTCTTCAGGAAACTATTAATTCACAATGCCCCCAACAGTACAGTGGTATTACCACAGTTCTTCCTCTTTGGAAGTTAGTGTTACTGACTTTTGCCACACTATTAACTGAAAATTCAACTGTGAAACTATTGCAACTCTGTGGTAGAAACTAAATGCAAATTTCAATTTGAGATTAAAAAACACAAAATGAGAATACTTCTTTAAAATACATCATATTGTATTCAAAACAAACATGATTTTTATAGTGAGAATAAATATTAATTTATCCATTTCAACATGCATATATAGTTAGACTTTTTAAAGGAACAAATAATTGTGTTTGCATGCTTTCAGATGAACTAATTTGGCCTGTTTTTAAAAATAGAGGAAGTACTATTTGTATTCTTTGATTCTACCTTTACCTCCTGAAAGTAACATAAACAGTTATGTAATCAATAGGAACAAAACTAAGCTTAAACTCACCTAAAGTAAAAATTGCTAGACAGGTCCACATTTTGAAATATTCGAAGATACCTTAAGAACAAAAGCAGAGCATGTTACATTTATGCAATACCATGAGCTGAGCATTCCAAGTCTGAAACTCTGAATGATGCCAGAAACACTTCAAAGTTTTGGCCTATTTTGGATTTCTGGGTTTTTAAATAAGGTGTACTCAACTGGTAAGATCTATGCCCCAATGCCCAAAACTAAAAACTCTGAAACCCTTCTGGTCATAAGCAACTGGAGTAAAGGATACTTGAATTCTGTTTTCCTTCACAGTTTGACATATATTTACACATTTTTGTTGATAAATACACTCACGAAAGCTCAAGAAGTCCAACCGTACCTGGGACATGAACTTCTCCAACAACTCCAAGTATGTAGTGTATCCCTCCCCAAGCCCTGAACTCCTGAGGAAGCCTGCTGCTCAACAGCAATCACAGCAGTGAGAGGCAAGCCACGCCTGGAACATGCATGGGACAGAAGCAATGTGCTTTGTAAATGCCCCAAAAATAAAGACAAAAGTGCAAAAAAAAAAAAAAAGCAAAATATCTGAGGGTCGCCATCATTTTTCAGTTGAGATGTCTTTAAGGTGGAAAAAAAAAGTGTACAAAACATTAGAAATCTATATATTTAACCCCCAGGATTAATAAATGTTCACATTTTTCTAAGTTCAGTTCAACATTATTAAGATGATATCACTGAAACATTCTAAAGGTTAGCATCCCCTTTGGGACACCCAACACACATACACACAAGCAATCATTTTCCCGGTGAGGGTATGAACCCTCACAGGACACGTGCCCTTAGCTTTATCACAGAGATCTCTAAATAACTGTAGGGGCTAATGTTGCGGCATAGTGCGTTAAGCCACACCCTGCAACACTAACATCCCATACGAAAGCTGGTTCACGTCCCAGCTGCTTCCCTTTCAATCTAGCACTTTGCCAATGCTCCTAGGAGAGCATGAGAGAATGAACTAAGTTCTGGAGTCCCTGTGTTCATGAGGGAGACCCAGATACAGCTGCAGACTCCAGGCTTTTGTCTGGGCCAGACTTGCACCAGTGGCAATTCAGAGAGTGAATTAGCGAATGGAGAACCTCTCTCCGTCTCCCTGTGTTTCTTCCTCTCGCTATGTTAGATCTTTGAAAAAGACTTTTTAAAAATAAATAACTGATAGCAATACACTGTGTGATTACAGTATCTATTTAATGATGCATGTTTGGCTTAGGAATTAAGATGCTGGTTAGGATGTCCATGTCACAATTTGGAGTACTGAGGGTCAACTTCTGTTTTAGGTCTCATTCTAACTTCCTGTTAACGTGGATCTTGGAGGAAACAAGCAGGAAATGAAGGCTCATATAGCTGGGTCCCTGCCATCCACGCTCCTGGATTTGGCCAAGCCCAGCTGATGCAGGTATTTGGGGATTGAACTAACATGTGGAGTGTGTTCTCATGCTTGCTCTCTCTCTCTCTCAAATCAATACTAACTTTTAAGATTTATATTTATTATTTTTTTATTGGAAAGGCAGATATACAGAGAGGAGAGACAGAGAGGAAGATCTTCCGTCTGATGATTCATTCCCCAAGTGAGCGCAACAGCCAATGCTATGCCAGTCCGAAGCCAGGAGCCTCTTCCAGGTCTCCCACGTGGGTGCAGGGTCCCAAAGCTTTGGGCCGTCCTGGACTGCTTTCCCAGGCCACAGGCAGGGAGCTGGAAGGGAAGCGGGGCTGCTGGGATAGAACCGTCGCCCATATGGGATCCCGGGCGTGCAAGGCAAGGACCTTAACCACTGTGCCACTGCGCCGGGCCCAATACTAACTTTTAAATACAATACTTCCATAAATCATTTCCAACTTTGACAATTGCCCTACAACTCACTTTTTCACTCAATTTTTAAATCTAGCTATGTTGAAATCTATACATTTAATTTGTTCTTTTTTTTTTTAAGATTTGCCTTTTTTTTTTTTAATGGAAAGGCAATTCACAGACAGAAGAAGAGACAGACAGACCCTCTATCCATTGGTTCACTCCCCAGATGGCCACAACAGCCAGAGGAGCCAGGTGCTTCCTCAGGGGTCTCCCACACAGGTGGAGGATTCCAAGGCTTTGGACCATCCTCTACTGTTTTCCCAGGCCACAAGCAATGAGCTAGACGGAAAGTGGAGGAGCTTGGACATGAACCAGGGCCCATGTGGGATCCCAGTGGTTGCAAGGTGAGAATTCAGCCATTATGCCACCGCCCCGGTTCCTAATTTGTTCATTTTAATTGATGCACAGTCATCATGCAATACATGGCATATTTTATTTACTCATTCCTCTACTGAGAAACCATTGGATTCTGTGTAGTCTTCCATTATATGTTCAGCGCATGTTTTCTTGTACACATAGCTCAGAGTTTCTCTAGGGCACATGCATACCAGCAGAACAACTGACTTGTAGAGAATACACATTTTCTCAATTTTGCCAGAATGTGTAAAATTGTCCTAAGTGGCTGAAATATTGTCACTCCAACTCACAATGTGTAGTTCATTTATACTCATCCTGTGTAATTCATTGTGTCCATAATTTCCAACCTGATTAATGAGAATTGAATGGTGCCACTTGAAATAGAATCAGAATGTCTTCCATGCTGTTCCTAACTCATAACAATTTTTCAGTTGGGCCACTAATCTTTTACTAATTGGTACAAATTCTTCCCATTTTCTATGATATGCTACAAATACCTGCTTTCAGACTGCAGTTTCTTCTCTGAAATCTGTCTAATTGTGAAGATATTTTTACCTTGATAGCATCAAATTCAACATTGCTTGCCTTATAATTTCTACATTTTTTAAAATTTTGGTAATGATATCCTCCACCAAGGGTCATGAAAACATTTTTTTTTTTCTTGAGACTTTCTTTGTAGAATTGCTTCTCAACGTTGTCAGAGACTGGAATCTAACCTTATTTTTATTCAAATGGAAAGCCTAGGTCTTTATAATGACTATTCTATCATATTTTGCTTTCTGTAATAAAACATATCCTTTTCCAAGACTTTCTCAACTCTGTTCATTAATCACGGCCAATGCCACCACCAACAGCAAAACAGTCTTCCTATAGTTTGCTGAACAACTTAATTACTATAAATTTAACTGTCTGGTTGCCCTGATCCCTTCTTCCTTTTCTTTTTAAAACACTTTAAGTTCTAGAAAAACACTTAGGCCTGTGGATGGTCTGAGGCAGACCTGGACAGCCAACAGGCCTCAGCACTTACACAGAAAGAATAGGAAGGTACCCTTGTGAAGACAGAAGAACAGGTCACGTCTTATCCAACGACCTCTCAAGCTGGTGTCAACAGACCATCTCAGTTCTCCTAGCCACTAACGTACAGCAGGGAGTGCTGCACTCCACTTCTTCCCTTCTCCCCCCACATCCCCACCACAGACACAGCTCACTCACTCAGCCTCCCCTCCATGTCCCGCTCTATCTCAGCCAGGGGCCCATGTGGGTCTGCAATACCCATTCCCCACCTCTGCAATGAACATGAAAAATTAATCATTTTCTCATGAAACAGATAAATGAAATTTTTTTTGGAAAAAGAAATTAAATAATGTCACTTTTTCTATCATTGTTAGTGATAAGGTTGACCATTTAACCATGTCTGCTTTTCTTTTCCTTATAAGAATATTATCCTTTAAAATTATTAGAGATCAGTAGTTTCATAGGTTTATATGTATGAATGAATATTCCATTCTTCAATAACCTCTCATAGAATGTCTTGAGGTTTTAACATTTTATTTATTTATTTAATAAACAGAGAGAAAGAAATACATACACAGAGAAAGGGGGTGGGCAGGAGCTCCCGACCACTGGTTCATTCCCCAAATGTTCTCCACAGCCAGTACCGTGCCAGGGCCGAAGGCAGGAGCTGGGAATTAAACTCAGCTTTTCCCAGGTGGGTGACAAGGACTCACAGAGCCATTCCCACTGGCTTCCAGAGTCTGCACTAACAGGAAGCTGGAGTTGGGGAGCCAGGAATCAGACCAAAGTACACCAATATGGGCGGGACGCATTCATGTTAACAGGCTGAACACCCACCCTTTGCCTACTGAATTTAAAGCCACTGTGGACCTTGCCTGACTCAGCTGTTACAGTGGGGGGCTGTAAAACCCCTTAAACAAACATTGCAGGTGGCTGAATCAGCACTTGACCTTTTCACAGAACCTTGACAATTTTGTTCTACCCCACTGAAAGCAAGCAGTTCCCACAAGAACTTACCTAGCTTCATCAGGATGAGTAATCCGTACAGAATCATTGGGTATGTAGATCATATTTGTATCTTCAATCTTGTATATTGCATGACCTCCAATATCTGCCATCTTCCTCCTTTTAGTAATTAACACAATATAGTACCCTTCTAAAAACCTGACAAACCCTATGAAACAAAAGGAAAAATGAAGCTTAATAAACTTAATAATACATTTGCATACAAATTTCAAATGCCAAAACTGTACACATTTCCTACTTTGCTGGTTTTAGACTTTATAACCACATAAATGTTCAGTTGTCTTACAATCATTCTCAAGAAATATGTTTTCACTAACATTTATCTCGCCTAAAATGTTACTTTAAACAACTTTTACTCATTCTTTTTAGTCTCACTCCAAATAGGATTGAGGGACTTTAAACAACAAGACACATGGGGTACTTCACAAGTGCATGAGAAGAAGAGAAGTGAAATTTAAGTTTATTGGGCTGGGCATTTGGCCTAGCAGTTAGGACACCAGCTAAGCTGCCTGTATCCAGCATCAGAGTATTTGGTTTGCTACCTTGCTCTGGCTCCTGACTGCTTCCTGTCAACGCAGACCTGGGAAGGCAACTCTAACGGCTTAAGTGAGAATGGCTCTGTGAGTCCTTGTCACCCACCTGGGAAAAGCTGAGTTTAATTCCCAGGCTTAATTACTGCGTTCCTGCCACCCACATGGGAGACCTCACTTTGCAAGTGTCAGGATCCTAAATGGTGCGAGTTTGTATCCCAGCTGCTCCACTTCCCTTCCAGCTTCCTGCTTGTGGCCTGGGAAAGTAGTAAAAGATGGCCCAAAGCCTTGAGACCCTGAACCTGAACCCACATGGGAGACCTGGAAGAAGCTCCTGGCTTCAGATTAGTTCAGTTCAGCTCTGGCCATTGAAGTCATTTGGGGAATGAACCAGTGGATGGAATATCTTTCTCTCTTGTCTCTCCTTCTCCCCATAAATTTGAGCTGTCTTTCCAATAAAAATAAATAAATAAAAAATTTTTCTTCCATTGTTAGGGTCCAGGCTAAAGCCCCGGAAATCAGGGTGCAAGCTAGTCAACCCCCAGAGAACGACAAAGAGTCTTGCTGGTAATGCAAACAGCAAAGAGTTTATTTCACCAGCATGCTGGGGTCAGATCCCACTTGGGGCACACAGGCCAGCCAAGTGGGGCGGTCTGACCCTGAACTAGCCCAAGACAGAAGTTTATATAGGCCATTTGGGGCTGGGAAATACATCAAAAGTAACAACCTTAGACATGTTAATTTTTATGGCCTTCAGGCACAGGCAGCCTGTTCTGTTCCCATACCCATTATCTGTATGGCTCATCCCATTCTCACACCCTTATCTTCCTCTTGTTCTTGGGACCAGAGAAGAATTGCGCCCTTGCCCCCCTGCACCTGGGTTCACAAAGTTGCAGGACAGCAAAGAACAAATTTATCACTAAAGTGGAATCCTCCCAAAGTCCAGGTGCCTCCTGGCCTAGCAAAGTAGCAGTTTTCTCCACACAAAGGAACCTCACACTGCCCAACAATAACATTTTACCCACACTCTAACAGCATATAAGTGCTTGTACATGCTCTCTTTCTCTCTCTCTCTCTCTATCTCTCTCTCTCTCTCTCTCTCTCACACACACACACACACACACACACACACACACACTATCAAGCCTAGGATCCTGTGGTATAGATCTGTGTTCTAGAATTGGCAAATACCTATTGTCTATGCCTTCTTATTCTAAGCCAACCAAAACAGGAAACTAGTAATTGAATATATTAACATGAATGAATTAAAATCTATAATGAAAAGCTGTCTTGAGGATTATATGGACCATGCGACTAAGAAAACAAATTCTAGTAAAGAAAAAAAAAAACTTGCCTTTTAGAGATCCACAAAACACTTTGAAAAAAAAAAAATGTTCACTTCTGCTTATTTTCTTCTTGGAGACAAGCCAAAACAAGGAGGAGGAAATGAGAAGGGGAAAAAAGCTGATGACAAACTCATAAAGAGCAAGTTAGGAGAAGCAGTTATTCCTTTTAAGAGATAAAACTTACAGAAGTAAGGCTCCTGGAAGCAGCATTTAAAAAAAAAAAACTGAGGAGAATTCAATTGTGTTTAAATACTAAATATTTCCAAAATAAATTAGCTTTCCTTTTATTCTTTCTTTCTAAACATTTATTTTTATATGAAATTCTCTGCAGTAATTGCTCTCAACCTGTATTCCAATTGAACTTTAACTTGACATTACTAGTTCCAATCTGTTTGTATCATTCTATATTTCCTTTCATGATTTGTGAGAAGTCAAACACACAGCATAAAAGCAACTTTCAGCTTCAAGCACAAATGCTTACAATGCAAACAAACAAAATCATAGCACTTCTGCATCATATCACTCTCAAGAACGCAAGTGACACCTCCAACGTCACTTCCCAAGGCCCATTCTGTCATCAGTGGGTCTTCCATGTATCTTGTAAAGTGTTGTTTTAGAAAACATCTTAGCCTCCGCCCTATTTTATCACAAAGCTCCTCCAACCTGGTAAGTTGAAAGAGCATCTCTGACGACCTACAATGAAAGAGAAAGGACACAGCCCTGAAAAGGTGGGAACGGTGACTGAGCTGAGAGTAGTCAGGACTGCAGACCAGCAGCTGCCCAGCAAGGCCACCAGGTACTGCGATTTCATGATGGACACTCAAGATCCCAGGTGAGCTCCAAAATGCCCTGCTGCCGCCAAACTGCAACGCAGCAGAGCAGGAATTAGCAGGGTGGTTACAGGACTTGAATAATCCACAGCTGAGCAAAGGAAAGCCTTTAAAGTGCTTAATACTCAATATATGGCCTCAAGATGAATAGCTGGCCCAGGAATTTCAATCATGTAAACAAACTGAGGGTAAGGGTTTAAAATCTGATTTTAAGATCTATAGCCTGGTCCAGAATGGGACAGAGGCTGGTTGGCATATTTACCACTAGATTTATACATTGAGTCACATGTGTACAAGCTACATTCAAATCTTCCATAGTAGTTTGCATATTGGTAATGTATTGGGGGAAAAGGCAGTCTTTTATTACAGAGAGTTGCAAATTATACCTCTACAGTTTTATAGTATGCGGATCAAATCAACCATAAGGGTAATGCAAAACATCCCAATGAAAACACTCTAGTCATGCTAAAAAAGTTGGTAGAGAACTTGGCACAGAATGGAAAACTATTGTTATAGCCATTTTGTACAAACATTATTCTGACAACTCGACTATATATTTCTCAAAGTATTTTGTGTTTTATGATTCAATGTCCTTTATTATTTATAAAATAGTACTGGGAAAAATATAAACTTTTACTAGCTTTGTATTCACTTTTCACTAGTTCTAAATAGTATTTACATGGTTAAACCAGAATGCATTCAATGCATTACCATAAAAACAACATTCAGTTAATGTATTCACTTTACTTGTAGGCTCAGTGACTTACTTTCCCATCCAAAAACAGTCTCAAACCCAAGAGGTCTCTAACTAACAAAGATGGCAAAGAAGACACCTTTAAGAACATTACCTCACAGGAAACATGGAGACACCTCCATCCTAACCCAGAGTTTATTTACTAACATTTGTGTGTGAGATAGCATCTACAGGGGCTGGCACAGTGGCAAAAGCAGGCTAATCCTCCACCTGTGGCACAAGCATCCCATGTAGGTGTTGGTTTGTGTCCCAGCTGCTCCACTTCTGATCCAGTTTCCTGCTTATGACCCAGGAAGGCAGTGGAGTATGGCTCAAGGACTTAAGTCTCTGCACCTAACTGGGAGACCCAGAAAGAAGCTCCTGGCTCCCGGCTTTGAATCAACTCAGCTCTGGCCATTGTGGCCATCTGGGGAGTAAGCCAACCAATGGGAAACCTGTGTCTCTTTCTCTCTCTGTAAAATCTGCCTTCCAAATGAAAATAAATAAATCTTTAAAAATAATAATATCTATTGCAAAATTGGATATCAGTTGATTCAAATAAAGCTTTTGGTTTTACAAGATTGCTTACATGACATTAAAAATGAGGCTGGCATTGTAGTATAGCAGGTTAAGTGCTAGTTCATCTCCTAGTTGTTCCAGTTACAATCCAGCTCGCTGCTAAAGACCTGGGGAAAGCATCAGACCACGGCTCAATCGTCTGGGCCCGTACTACTCACTACCCTGGATGAAATTCCATCCCAGTCCTGGCCATTGCAGTCATCCGGAGAGTATACCAGAAAAATAAAAGCTATTTCCCTATCTTTCCCTGTCTCTCTGTAACTCTTTCAGATAAATAAATCTTTTTTTAAAATGTCAAGAAATATTGCCAAAAACAAACATGTCAAGAATAAGAAAAATGACCAAAGTGCCATGAAAACAGAACAGTCTTCAGAGCTAGTTAATGTAAAGGCAAACAGTCCCAAGACAACTCCAGAACACCCAAGGGCAGCTATTTTTAAACAGAATTCAATAACTGATCTTCACTTCCTTACACTTAATCATCAAGGAAGTTTCAATTTTGAATAGTAAACCCTGGTTCATGAGGCACTCAATATTATCTACACCTTAGGAAATTTCCATCCAAAATACTATAGTAACATATCAATATTTAAAGGAATAAGAATAATCTATTAAATAACTACTATTTTTCCATTAATTATTTTTATTTTTGATGATTTTTACATAGTTGATTAGGGTGATAAGGGTCAAGGGCTACAGGAAGGTGGGTGAGATCACCATTTCCACATTTTCTTTTTTTCTTTCCTGTATCTGGGGGAAGGAGGGGAGACAAGGAGAGAAGCCACACCCAGCCTCCTAAATGCCTCTGCACCCTGGGATGGAGGATAGCCACCCAACACCATCCCAGGATTCCCAAATTGGGCATGCTCTAACCCATACTCACTTTGACTTATGCATGTACCAGAAGGAACAGTCAACCCAGCCTGGCATTTCCCTAATCCAGCTCACATGAGGCCAACAGGTGTTATAGCCCTGCCTGGCCTGGTCTGTACCCATCCCAACTCACACTCTCCAGTGGGAGTGGTGATCCAGCAGGGGAGCCCTATGAAGCCCTCCTACTGACTTCACCCCTTCCCCCTTGGTCTCACATGTGCTGGGTGGGTGCTGTGTCCCAGAGTGGCAAGGCCCACCTCACCTCTGCTTTGCCAGTGGGTGCTATAGCCTGGTCAGGCCCGGCCTACCCCCAATTGCAGCTCACACTGGTGGGGGCTACAGCCTAGCCTAGCCTAGCCCTTCCGGCCCCAGTATTGGCCCTCATGCATACTGGGTAAAGTTATACTTTATTTTGACCTTTCTTTTTTTCTTGAATTTTCAAATATGAATAGGACTTGGAGTAGAATTAAACACACATAGAATTTATGAAATGCACCTTCCATGACAATATGCAGACATACTGAGACCTGCAAACACCTGTCCCATCAACAGGTGCCCTTGGGTGAGCTGGAGAATCTAAAAGGGTCCAGTACAAGGGGGTAGGGGAAACCATAGCACCCTCTACCTCGCCTGACAGTCACTGAGACACAACACAGACATAAATGGACTTCACGTGAGCAGCCACTAGTGCACACTGAGAAAAGCAAACTCCAAATACAGCAAAATATAATCCAAGCTCCAACAAACACAGTCACAAAATAGAAAATGGCAATCAGAAAACTGAAGAACTAGAAACTTTACAGCATTGCCACATTCCTACTAACGTTGTTAACACCTACAGAAACCACTTATTCCACATTACATACAGTCTGTAGGGTGAGCAAGCACAGAGATGGGGCGGGCATTATAGCACAGCAACTTAAACTCCCGCTTCAGAAGCCTACAGCCCAGGGCGAGTATTGCTTCACATCCCAACTCCCACACTTTTTATTTATTTTTATTGGAAAGGCAGATTTACAGAGAGGAGACAGAGACAAAGCAACTCGTACACTTCTGATTCCGTTTCTTCCTAATGCACCTAGGAAACCAGTGAATTTGAAGGTTCAAGTTCTTAGGTCTCTGTAACCCACGTGGGAGACCTCCATGAGGATCCTGTGTGCATTTGAGAAGTGATCCAGTGAATGCAAGATGTCTCTCACTTCTTTCCTTCCCCCCTCTCCACTTCTGTCACTCTGCATTTCAAATAAATGAGTTTTAAAAAAAGAAAATTAAAAAAAAAATACTGATATCCTTTAAACATGTATTAATTAATAAAAGCAGCACAGAGGTAAATCTGTAATTTCTAAAGATTTAAAACAAGGTAACGTCAGCGGAGAGGTGACGTCTAACTGCCTTCGTCTCTGGCTTACAGAGGGGCCCAAGAAACCTGGCCTGCCCCCTCCACTGCCCAACACCCCGACACGCAGGGGCAGCTGTATGCCTGGCTGGCTGCTGCTGCAGATCCCCCCATTGCCCTGCCCTTGTCTACACCTTATTCCTCTTTCACACTCCATCTTGAGTTCCATCTGCTCCAACAAATCTTTCCCAGCTATTCCAGGTCCAAGGCACCTAACTTGTTTTTGTTTTTTAAGATTTATTTTACTTTTATGGGAAAGGCAGGTTTATAGAGGAGAGACAGAGAAACATCTTCCATCTGCTGGTCCAAATGGCTACAACAGCCAATCCAGAGCCAGGAGCTAGGAGTTTTATCCAGTTCTGCCACGTGGGTGCAGGGATTTGAGCCATCCTTTTCTTGCTTTCCTTGGCTATAAGTAGAGAGCTGGATCGGAAGTAGAGCAGCCGGGACATGATCTGGTGCCCATGTGAGGATGCTGGTGCTTGCAGGTTAGACTAGCTTAAAAAAAAATGTTTTCGGGCCCGGCGCAGTGGCGCAGTGGCGCAGTGGTTAAGGTCCTCGCCTTGCATGCCCGGGATCCCATATGGGAGCCGTTCTATCCCAGCAGCCCCGCTTCCCTTCTAGCTCCCTGCCTGTGGCCCGGGAAAGCAGTTGAGGACGGCCCAAAGCTTTGGGACCCTGCACCCGCATGGGAGACCTGGAAGAGGCTCCTGGCTTCAGATCGGCATAGTATCGGCCGTTGCGTTCACTTGGGGAGTGAATCATCGGACGGAAGATCTTCCTCTCTGTCTCTCCTCTCTGTATATCCGCCTTTCCAATTAAAAAATAATAATAATAAAAATAAATCTTTAAAAAAAAGTTTTCAAGTATTAATTTTATGGAAATTTTTAAATTTTTTACTTAAATATCTACATATTATTTGAAAGGCACACACATCCACTCGTGGATCTGCTGATTCACACCTAAATGGCCACAGCAGCAGGGGCAGGGCCAGGCTGAAGCCAGAGTCCCAGAACTCCAGCATGCCCTCCGGCACTGTTAACTTAACACCACAGAGCTTGGTTCTCAATTACGATGATGGAGTTGTTTCAGGGATTTTTATCCTCTGACATGCATCAACCAGGAACAAATCCACAGGAGTGGGAAGGCAGACCAAGAACTGCAGTGCATCTCACTAAAGTGAAGGTATATTTAGAGCATTCAAGGTTGGGGGAAGACACTTGGGTAAAATCAAAATGAAGAGGCTCAAACCAAGGCAAGATCACAGTTAAAGAGATCATCATCAGGCCAGAGCCATGGCATAGTAGGGTAAGCCTCAGCAGCAGCGCCAGCATCACATGTGGATGCCAGCTCATGTCTCAGCTGCTCCACTTCTAGTCCAGGTCACTGCTAATGTGTCTGGGAAAGCAGTGGAAGATGGCCTAAGTGCTTGGGCCCCTGCCACTCAATATTAGAGACCTGGATGAAGTTCCTGGCTCCTGGCTTCAGACTGGCCCAGCTCTAACAGTTGCAGCTGCTTGCAGAGTGAACCAGCAGATGGGAAGATCTATCTTCTCTCTCTCTCTCTCTCTTCCTCCCTCCCTCCCTCCCTTTCTTTCTAACACTGATTTTCAAATAAAAATAAATAAATTGAAAATAAATAAATAAAAGTAAAATAAATCTTAAAAAACTGTCAGAGCTGGAGGAGAAAACCGACCCAGGGCGCAGTATAAGTTAGCACAGAAGTTGGCACAGCTATGGAATGTCATGTTTCTAGAAACCTCTTCTTTGAAACCGCTTCTTTATGTCAAAATGACTCACATGGTCCAAGGAGAGCAAGACGTTTCATTTTCCTGCCTACTTGTGATTATCTAGAACAAAGCTTTCCAGTGAGTCAGAGTAGCAGTTACCCCTAGAAAGTTGGAACCCTTTACGGCTGCCACCTGCCCTGTAAAAAAATGGTTTGGTTTTTAAAATTCATTTTACTGGATCTGTTAGCTCAACTGATGATTGGCATAGCAAATATGCACAACTAGCCAACTTACTTTATTTTTTATTAATTTTCTTGCCTTTTTTTATTTTATGGTACAATTCCATTGGCTCTGGGACTTCCCTTACCCACTCCCCAAGTTCCTTCCCCTGCACTGATTTCCCCTATGTTATAATAGTACAGTCCTTCATAAACAGTCATAAGTTCACCATTCTGCTTTTAAGTATATCCTGACACTGCAGGTACGGACAATGACACAGAGTTCAGCATCCTATTATCAAGATACACTTAAGTTTCATTGGGAGTCCATCTTTGATATGGAAGTAACTTACTTTAAAAAAAAAAAGTTACTTACTTTAAAATCTGAAAGGCAGGCAGAGAGACAGAAAGAGTGGGAGGTAAAGAGGAGAGAGACAGAGAGTATTTCCATGGACTGATTCACTCCTTCAATAGCTAAGCCTGGGCCAGGTTGGTTGAAGTCAGGAGCCAGGAGCTCCATCCTGGTCTCCCACAAGGGTGCAAGAACCCAAGCACTTGAGCCATCCACCCGCTGCCTTCCCAGGCACATTCACACTCCTGCTGGATGGGAGGCAGAGCAAGCAGGGCTGAAAGCAGCCATTGAGATACAGGATGCAGGCATCCCAAGAAGAGGCTGAATCCACTACCACACAATGCCTGCCCTTAACTTGTACTTTTATAATTGCACAGCAAGTCAGAGAGCAGAATCTTCAAAGGCCAAAAAGGCTGCATAATTGTTCATATTCAGTATAGAACTGAGCAGGAGTGAACACCAAAGCAGACACCACACACCTGCTGTTCTGTAGCTGATGGGTGAAGAATCAAATGTGCAACAACCAAATCCTACGGGTGATGGGTCAGGAGCCCCAAGACAGACAACCTGTGGAGTTGGACTATGCAGAGAAAGAAATAAAAGTAGGTGGCAAGAGGCTGCCACACTTCTTACCCACAACGCCAAACGCTGAGACGGCACGGAACAGCCCAGAGGATCCTTTCTGTCCCATCTTGGTCCTGTTGCCCAGGTCCAAGCGGCCCAGGAGCTCCCTCACTTCTTGCTGCGTGTACACATGCTGAAAAGGAGCATATGTCGTCATCTGTGAGCCCGTTCCTCATTTGCCACCACGAGCCTACCAGAATCACCAGCCATTCGCTTGCCTGAGAAGTCTTTTGTAACGCGGGACGAAGCTACAGTGTGGAAAGCCAACAAGCTCTTTCACACTGGCAGCTAAGGTCAGGCTGCTGCACTGAAAAGTTGTGTCAAAACCTTATAACTCTGAGTCAGAGATTTTAGGGATCTGCAGAAAATGTTTAAGAAGCCTGAGAGTGTCTTCCAATTTTATATAAAGTTTAGACCAGGTGTGCATTTTTTTTTCTGAGAAGCTGCATTGCTTTTCTTAGCTTTACAAAGGACTCCTTGAGCAACTTTTCCCAACTCCAAATATAGCCAAGAATCATTACCCTCTATTAATAAACACACACAGGCCAGTGGCAAGGGTAAGGGCACTTGGGAGGAGTATAGGGAGTCACCATAAATTATCCTAAGGTATTATAACATCAGGGACTAGCATTGTGGTGCAGTGGGTTCAGCCACCACTTGCCATGCCAGCATCTCATACTGGAGCACTGGCTCCACTTCCGATCCAGCTCCCTGCTAATGCACCTGGGAAGGCAGCAAAAGTTGGCCCAAGTGTTAGGACCATCTATGTGGGAAACTGGCCCCAGCTTGGTCATTGTGACCATTTGGAACAGTGAACCAGTAGATAAAAGGTTTTCTTTTTCTTTCTCTCTCTCTTTCCCTCTCTCTTTCCTTATCACACTTCCTCCATCTCTTCCTCTTCCTAGTTGTCTCTGTATTACTGCCTTTCAAATAAATAATTTTTTTTAAATATATTTAATTGAAAGGTGAAATGTCAGAGAGAAAGTGAGAGAGACACGGGGTGTGGGAGGAAGATTAGTTACAGACAGAAAAGGAGGAAAAGAGAGGAAGGAGGTGAGAAGGAGAAAGAGAGAGAGAAAGAATCTTCCATCTACTGGTTCATTCCTCTAAATGGCCACAATGGTCAGACGTGGGCCAATCTGAAACCAGGAGCCAGCAGCTTTATTACTTGGCCCATTCCCCACTGCTTTCCCAGATCATAAGTAGGGACCTAGACAGGAAGTAGAGCAGCTAGGACTTGAACTGTCATGCATTTGAGATGCCATTGGTACAGTCATCAGTTTTACCTGCAATCAGCCCCTAAATAAATCTTTACAAGAAATTGTTACAACATGGAAAAACAGTTTTTTGCAAAGAGCTCAGTGGAGATGCGTCCCCGATGTAACTACTAATATGCATCAGGAATTCACACGGATTCAAAAGTATTCACAGATAAGAATTTCAGAAGACAACAAGTTGTATTCTCTCATTTGAAAAAGTTTAAATGAACTCTTCCACACTGGCTGCACTGTGCCATACTCTAACAGTTTTGTGTTTTTGTGTTGCTTCTGTATGCCTAATTTTGGATGCTGTAGTGTCCTGCTGAGAACAGCTTCCATTGTGTTAACCATCTAGTACTTCATCAGAAAAGGTGCTCGATGCTAGCTGTTAGGTTCTGAGGGAAATGCAGGCAGTAGTTCAGGAGTCTCCTCTAGCTGCAAGGAGCTTTGCATGAAGGCCCAGCCATGGACCATCTCCTGATGGCAGAAGCAAAATCAAGTCACGCGGAATCCTACACAAACACCAATGCTTCCAGGAAAAGTTTTTATTCTCTTTCCTACAGAATGTGGTTGTGAAAACAAATCAAAATCATGAACAAAGTCTAATCTGGACATATTTCTTGACATCAGTAGTCTCTAGAAAGCAGTTAAGAGGCTCAAATTCTCACCAACCAAAAACAGTAACTCACTTTCCAGTGCATGCTACAAAAGAAATAAATGAATACGTAATACACCATCAAGGATAACCCATGTCCTTTAAACCACAGGTGTGGAAGTTTCTGTGGTCATCTGTACTTACCCTATCATCTATTATGACCAAATCTTTGGGCTCTGTTCTGTCAATTTTCAAGACACGATATTTCGTTTCCGCATGATTGCTCCCAACGAGAAAGTATCTCTATAAATAAAGAGAAATGTCATTAGCTTCTTAAGGCACCTTGCCCTGTACATATTTTAGAACCACTTCAGGTTCTGTAATTACATCTATTCAGGTTGCTTTCCTTTTTTTTTTTTTTAAAGAAATGCTTCAGTTAAGGTTAACTGGCACGTTACAGAAAACACTGGCTCCAAAAGGGCAATTTTAAATTGAAACATTCTTAGTGGATTCGTGATCGGTATCAGTCTGATGTCTGAAATGCGCCTGGTAACCAGGTCAGATGAATTTAATCACATTATAAAATTAGAGATGAACCTCCCTGATTGGAGACTGATGTTTCAGCTTCGCCAGGACACAGCAGCTCTGGTAAGCATTAAAAGGCTCTACATACAATTAGGAATGCTTGGACAACTGCAGCTATTAAGATATTAACAATTTATCAAATCCATCTTTAAAATGCTTCTATAGAAAACAAAGTCTGAACGTGACTTTAAGCTGGCAACTGTAATTATGCCACCCACAAAGTCCTATCAAACATGAAAATAGCCGTACCCTTCCAAGAGCCCTTTCTTAGACAAGCTATAGGAAGGGTGGATACTCTCATTCCCGAAATACTTTCTTGGAGTACGATGCTTGAACACAGCATTTACACTTCTTAAATGAGTATTGAGAATGAACTGAATAATAAAAATGTGGGAAGGGGGTGGGTAGGATGAACTCTCCCACAGCCAAATACACGGGTTCCAGTCCTTGTTTCACTCTTCCTTGCCACGTCTTGCAAATATGTGCTCTGGGAAGCAATGGTAAATGGCTCAAGTAGCTGGACCATGGCTATCTGTAGATAGAGTCAACAGATAAAAGTCATGTCCCAGCTGCTTGCTTCCCATAGCTCCTGCTAATGGCCCACAAAAGCAGCCAAAGATGGCTCAAGTGTTTCGGTCCTTGCCAGCCACGCAGATGTCTTGGATGAACCTCCTGGCTCCTTGGCTTCAACCTGGCCCAGCCTTGGCCATTGTGGCCTTTTGAGGGAGGAATGGGTCTCCATATGGATGGAAGATCTCTCTTTGTGTGTCTCTCCCTTATACTCTCTCTCTCTCTCTCTCTCTCTCTCTCTCTCTCTCTCTCTCTCTCTCTCTCCAGCTCTGGATTTCAAATAAATAAACAAAATTTCTACTAAGAAATTAATTTTCACCTGGGGGAAGCCAGCTCATAGAGGCCTGGAGGATGGCACCTATGGCTCATATCCAGGCAGGCAGAGCTAGCCTGGGATTTCCTGGGACGGGTGGGGAAAGGGAAGAGGAAAGCCCTAGGTTAGTGTGCTGGCCTGGTGTGCTGCTGGACTGGGCTTTGGGAACTACGAATGGGCCTGGATCTTGGGTGTGTTGGGGGGCGGGGTAAGGTCTCAGGCCAGCACATGTGCTAAGAGCTTGGGACCCTAGTGGGCAGGCAGAGCTCCATGCCAGCATGCCAACCGGCCAGAAGACCAGGCTGGGGAACCCATGCACTCCCGGGTGCAGGAACTGTGGATTGATCAGGGAAAGGAATAAGGGAATGTGAGAGAGGGAGGACTGCTGAGGAAGTATTTTGCAGGTGAGGAATGACTTCTGAGGGATTCCCATTAACAAGGCCACTGTACTTGCAGGTCAGCAAGAAAGCTGAGAGCCAGCAGCTTGGAGAAGAGAAGCTAAAAGACCTTTATGGGTCAGACTGATGCACCAGCCCACGTGGGAGACCTGAGCTGGACTAGTTAGCATGGATTATCACTCACTGACATACGTTATAGCTAAGGCTGGGATCCTACCTAGAAGGGCTAGATCACAGTACCCACCAAAAAGAGTAAGAAAAGGGGACAGGTAATGTTAGGCTGGGCCAGACATTTACTGGTGCATGAGAGATCCAGGTCTGGGGACAGACTCTGGGGGACATGTAAGCCCACTCCCCTGCAGAACTGCAATTTCTGCTGGTTCGCTCAAGAGCTGGTGGTGGTGACAGGCTGAGCGAGGCCATGGAACCCTCCAACACTCATTGGTATTGGGGTGGGGAACAGGCCAGTCTGGCTCAGGCTACAGTACCTGTAAGTACACCCAAGAATAGGGTTGGGGTGGGCTGGGCCACAACATCCATCAACTCATACAAAGGCCAGGATGGAGGATGCAGACTGTGTGGGTAAGGGCCTAGTACCTACTGTCACATGTCAAATCTGCATCCAGGAGAGGGCCTTATCAGGGAACTTGGGAAACTCCCCTGCTGGAATGCAGCTCCCACTGGTGAGCATATGATTCAGGCCTGGGTGTTGGTCAGGCAGGACAAGGTAGCTCCACCTGTTGGCAAGTGTGTGGGTTGGTTCTGGAGGAGGATAAACCAGGCAGGGCCAGGCCACCCTTAACCCACTGGCAAGTGCAGGAGCCAGGCTGGAGTATAGTCATGCCAGGCTAGGCTATCACACCTACCATTTTTTTTTAAGATTTATTTATTTTTTATTACAAAGTCAGATATACAGAGAGGAGGAGAGACAGAGAGGAAGATCTTCCATCCGATGATTCACTCCTCAAGTGAGCACAATGGCTGGTACTGTGCTGATCCAAAGCTGGGAACCAGGAACCTCTTCCAGGTCTCCCATGCGGGTGCAGAATCCCAAAGCATTGGGCCGTCCTCAACTGCTTTCCCAGGCCACAAGCAGGGAGCTGGATGGGAAGTGGAGCTGCCGAGATTAGAACCAGCGCCCATATGGGATCCCAGCGCATTCAAGGCGAGGACTTTAGCTGCTAGGCCATGCTGCCGGGCCCACACCTACCATTTTGAATGAGCCAGGGATGGGAACAGACTGGACAGTGATAGAATGTAGTACCCGCCAGCTAGGACAGATCAGGCTGCAGCATCTGATTGCAAAGGTCAAGACAGGGGAATGGGTTATGCCAAGCTGGGTCAGAGCAACCACTGGCATGTGCAAGATCTATGACTAGGAACAGGCTTGGCTGGGGAGCTAAGGGGGTGCTCCAGCTGGGTTGTGGTTCCCACTGATGAGCGTGAGAGCTAGAATGGGGGTGGCAATCTGGGCTGGACATGACTACAACATCCCTAAGCATTGGTGTGGACTGGGTCTTGGGTGCGCCAGTCTGGGCCGGACTCCAGCACACACTGACATTTGTGAGATCCAGGGTGGGAGTAGGACAGGCTGGGCTAGGTCTTAGCACCCATTTCACCATGGGAGAGCTGTGACTGGGCATGGACCAGGTGTAGCTGGGCTGCAGCCCCCAACAGCAAATACCAGAATGGGTGTGGGCTGGTTGGAAAAGGCCACTGTACCTGCCAGGACAGGAGACAAACTAAGTCAATCTAGGCTAAGGACCCACCAGTGTATGTGAAATCTGCTGCTGGGAGGAGACCTGATAGAGAGATTTAGGGAACTCCTTTGTCAGGATGCAGTTCCTGCATGTGAACACAAGGACCAAGGCAAGGAGCAGCCCAAACCAGGCCAGGTTACAGTACCCACCGGCATACATGTGGGTCAGGTCTGGGGTCAGGCCAGGCTGGGCCAGTTCACAACACTCACTGGCAGATATGAGAACCAGGACTGGATGCAGGACAGGCCAGGTCACAACACCAGTCAGTTCACATTAGGGCTGGGAATGGGGCCTGGCTGGGATGGGCTAAGCTGCAGCACCCACTTGCACATGTGAGATCCAGGGGGTTGTGAGGCCAGTAGGAGGGAAGGAGGGGGGGAATCCTTCATGGGCCACTGCTCCCACTGGTAAGTGTAACAACTGGCACCTTGGGCAGACCAGGCCAGGAAGTGGCACAACATCTGTTGGGCTGCAATGTGAACTGGGTCAATGGGAGAACCAGGCTAACCAACTGTGTCCACCAGTGCATACATAAGCCAGAATAAGTGCAGGCTCATTGGCTTTGCCATAGCATCAGCTGGCAAATGCTGGGACTGGGGAAAATCCTGTCAAGCTAGACTGCAGAACTATTTAAAGAGTGCAAGACCCGGGACTGGGAATAGGCCAGGAAAAATTGTGAGCACCTCTCTGATGGGCTGCATCTCCCACTGGTGAACATGAGAACTAGGGCAGGTGGTGGCCAGGTCTAGCTAGACAGGCGGTAGCACCCACTGGCATGAGTATGGGCTGGATAGTGGGGATTCAATGCCCATTGCTTTGTACGAAAGCTGAATAGGATGTGGGACAGACTGAACCAATATGCTACACAAATTGGCAAATACAAGAACCAGGGCTAAGGGCAAGCCTAGTGAGGGTTATTGGGAGTCACTCTGATTAGGTTGAAGTTCCTGCTTGTGTACATGAGGGCCAAGTGTTTAGTGGGCTGGGTAGAGCTGCAATATCCATTGGTTTAGTAAGAGACAGAACTAGAGACAGAACTGACCCAGCAATTGCAACTACCACTGTGTGCATAGGTTGATGTGGGTGAAGGACTGAGCTGGACTCCATACCTGCAAGCACACACAAGAGTCAGTTCTGGGATCACTTCAGAGGAGGTTTCTCTGGGGATCCCCCCAACTGAACTGGATTCAGGACTCCAACCATGCAGAGAATTGTAGGGTGTGTGGTATGACTGTGGGATGCATGTGTCAGAATTGGGCCTCCTCAGTGACTCAAACCAAACAGTGGACGGCACAGCCAGATGCACATAGAGGATATGGCAGTCCACTGGGGCCTGCAGAGGACATCTGGTATCATAACAGAGGAAGGAGGACATAATAAATTGGTCAACTACCCCAGCCAAGCATTGACAGCAAATATCTGGGCAAATGGAGACTCTAAGGTGGACTATGTCAGCCAATGGAACTTGGAAGGATTTCCTCATCCCTGGAGTGGTGAGACTGAAGCATTTCAGAACTGTCAAAAGTTCTTGAGTAGAACTCTTTGTTTGCTTGTTTGTTTGTTTGTTTCCAGTTTTATTGCAGTTTTATTTGTTATAGCTATAAAAATCTTCTAAGATGTTGCAAATCAAAACTGGAATTTTATATATGGCAACTCTGCATTATTTTGTTTATTATT